AAGCCTCTTTGTTTTGAGCCTTTTCACGGCTTGATGAACTTCTTCCCCATTAGGTGGTATGAATGAAGTGAAACCTGCATCTTCTTAAACAAGAGTGACAACACTCTTCTGAGCACTGGATTCCAGAATGAGGCAGTGTTAGATATTGGAATTAGAGTTTTCTGTCCTAGGGGATTTAGTGGTTTCAGAAGAGAGTGAGATTGTTCACAGTTAGCACAAGCTTAGACTAACAGTAACCCATTAATGTCACACCATTAGATACAGCCCATGCAAAAACCCTGGTAATACTCTGATAACAATAAAGTATATAAAAATGAGGGCAGAAACAAAAAGAGCATTGTTCCTGGTTGTGGGACAGGTCTGGTGTTCCACAGAGGACCTACTATTGATAGAAAACTGCTGGAACCTTTCTGAGGTTCATTCAAGGCCCTCTGCCAGAGCTGGTGATGTGAAAGGTAGACTTGTAACAAAACTTCTCATTCTTTTGGGTTGTAATTGTGGTATTAACATGAAATATCATTAGAGGCCTGGCAGCCCTTTTCTCCAAGATGTGGGTTTAAGAAGTCATTTGGTCTTACTTTTGCCAGTGCAATTCTCTTGACATGTTAAATTGAATAATAAATATGGACACTCTGGGACAGCGGGAGGTAGATTTTGATGAGAAACATCCCCAGAATGCCTTTTCAACACCACTATGGTCATTATTTGAAGCTGCACCTTCTCCTTTCCTCTCCAACCACTTCTTTCAAAAGCAGATCATAAAGAGTACCAGTTGACTTTGGGATGACATTTGACTGGTTCTGTGGGTGGCGTTCAGGTCTGACCCAGTGTGAGTTTGGAAGCCTTGCCTTTAAATGTACTGCTTACTCATCAATGAAGAGGATGAGTGCTGGGGCCTCAGGGTGAGGGGTGAGGGGCCTCAGTGTGAACCTCACCGTGCATCCTACCAGCTGCTTGGCCTTGAGAAATCACTTAACCTCCCTGAAGCTGCTGCAAAATGTTAAGGGATGAAAATCAAAGACTGTGTGGTCTGTGTACTCGATTTCTTTTAACGTTGTGTCTTAGTCCATTTGGACTGTTAAGACAACGTACCACAGACTGGTCTGTTTATAAACAGAATAAATTCATTTCTCATAATTCTGGAGGCTGGAAGTCCAGGATCAAGTTCTGTGTCTGATGAGAGCCAGTTTCCCAATTCAAAAGTGGCCATCTTCTTGCTGTGTCCTCACAGGGCAGCAGGGGCAGGGGAGCTGTCTGGGAGCTCTCTCTTTTATCAGGGCGCTCCTCCCATTCATGGGGGCTTCTCGCTCAGGATCTGATCACCTCCCAAAGGCCCACCTCCTAATACCATCCCACTGGGTGTTCATATTCCAACATGTGAATTTTCAGGGGGACACAAACATTCAGATCCTAGCACCCTGTGCAATAACTTCCATCCTTATTAGCATCATCTTTTGTTGAGCAGTTAACAATTTTCTATCGTGTGAGCTGTATAGGCGTTATCTTGGGCTCTTAGTTGAAATTAAACAAAAGAGAAAGATAGTTCTATGGCAGCCACAGATGTTAGGATTCTTTTTGTGAAATGGAATATATTGATATTTTAGAAAATATCAAATCATTGAGTATGTCCTCGGAATTTGATCAAAGTTCTAGAGGGAATTTGAAAAAAGGGAGATAACTCCCAAATCAGTGAATTTTACAGATGTGAAGGAAGAGGCTGCCTATCCTCTGAAGTTTTTATTAGCTGAAAATTTATCACAATTGTAAAATGGAAGTGGTTTAAATTCTGTGGCAAATTCTTTGCCCTTATAAATAAGGACCCTATCCTGGCTACTCTGAGTGGGGTGCACTGTGGTGTCAAGGGCATTGCCATACCTGGTGATCCAGTGCAGACTTGAGAACTGGGAAATGTGGGTTTGAATCCTGCCTCTGCCAGATCTTAGCTTGTCATCTTGAGTCACTTAATCTCTTCTTGAGCCTCAGTTTTTTCATTATAAAGTCTGAGGTGATGCTTTATCTCATAAAGCTGTTGAGGGGGTTAAATGAGGTGACAAACTTAAGGTATGTAGCATAACCATCACCTACTAGGTCCTTGAGACATTGAACTATTTTAATATACTACAATCATACAGTATAATCAACTATGTATACTATATAAAATACATTCACTTAAATATCAGGTAATATATACTATGTAAAATGTGTTCATGTATCATTTATATAATATGAAATCTTTTATCTAATTATATATTCTACAATAATATATAACTATTTTAAAATAAGTACTTCAGAGAGTCCTAGAACTTGGGATCATGTTCTCTAATAGCTCTCACACTTTTTAAACTGTGGGCTCTTTGTCCCTTTCCTTCCCCACGAACGGCATCTCTGGGGAGCCCGGCCATCTGAGACCAAGCGAAGGGGAGGTGCTTGCTGAAGCCAGGGTGAGGGTCCCTGAGCCCTGCGCAGGCTCTCCCCTTAGCTACTGCTCACCATGCCCAGAGCCCCTCGGGCCAGAGTGGAAACAGCTGCTGTAGGGCCAGTCTTCATTCTCGTCAAGGTCTCTGAGCTACGTGGGTAGAGCTAAGGCCAGACCCAGATCTGTGGCCTCTAGGTTGATGCTCGTCTCTGAGACACTGTGCAGTGTCCGCTGATGGGAATAAGTCCAGACCTGCTGATCCCACTCCCTGAGGAGAATCAGGGCCTGCTTCCCTCCCTGTACAGCCATTCCCAGCATGGAGCCTGGTGCCTTGAGAGGCTGCTGGCTCAATCCCTGGGTTTACTGATGGCCACACCTAGAGTTCATAGCTGCTAAAAGCCCTAAGCTGCTAAAAACCACAACTCTGAAGGACAAAACTAGAGTTGACAAAGTTAGCGTCTCACATGGCAGTCTTACAGTGGGTGCACGTCTGTACTTATGGCTGTTAATTAGCATTGATTTTCAAGCAATCGGAAAACTTGTATTCAGTGCAGAAGAGTTTCATTTCTCTGGGTGCCGGTGTCAGGTGATGGTCGGTTTTGCTGAACTTCTCTTCTGGAGGGGCCAGTAGACCCAGTTAGCAGAGGCACTGGTCACCACTGACTGTTACAGGGGAATCCGCCTTTTCTGGCCTCAGGTTTTTGTCTGGAAATGATGTAACCCTTTTTCTCCAGGTGTCATTAGCCTATGTACGTTTTGGTTTGTGACATTAAATGAGATGCCTTGGAAAGCTTTTTATCAGAAGATGAATATGAGGAACTAGTATTACGTAAATGAGTCTAGATTTTCTCTGCCAGAAAAGCTGGCTCACTATTTGTAGTGCTGTGAGATGGATGGCCTTTTATTCTGCCTTGCGTTAGAGATTCCTGGTTCTCCCTAGAACAGCCCAAATGGAGAAACACGTGGCCAGGCCAGGCCTGGAAGCAGTCAGGGCCAGAGAAGTCGGAGTGCTTTGGGCCAGGAATGGAGTGAACTCCTCTGTTAACTCATCAGCTTGCATTTCAGGCTTCAGACCCACCATTGCGCAGGTCCTGGTTCTAAAGTGTTTCTAAAGGATCTGGGGTGTCACCATTCAATGTGTGGGGGCCCGTGGTGTGCCTGCATCCACTCTCCATGGAAGAGAACTCGAGATCATTTTCCATAAATATTTTGTGGTATGGTGGCAACCACGGCGATGCTGCTGAGCCCTGGAGCCCTGCTGCAAAATGGGGCCGGTTTCCTGCTCGTTGCATTTGCCCTTCTGTCATGCCAAGGGTGCCAGTGGCTCAGATCAGCTCCATTGCTGAGTTGTGCTGTGAGTTGTGACATTATGTGATATGTGGCCAGGAATTTGTTAATGAAGTCCTGTAGTTGGTAACTAACTTACTTTTTCTCTGATGAGTAAGTAGATTCAGCATTAACCTGATAATGAGAAGAATCACCATAAACACCCCCACATTGTCTCATTCAATGGCAGAAACATTTTGGTGTCCCTCTTTGCAACAGGAGGAAACTGAGGTCTAGAGAGGTGAAGTGACTTGCTCAGGGCCGGAGTGTGACCATGCCCACCAGTGGCAGGACGCCTTTGTGAGTGGGAAATAAGGGAGTTGTGGCTGGCCACTAAGATGTTCAGGTGACATGGGGGAAACACTTTAGAACCAGCACCTGTGCAAGGTGGGTCTGCAGCCGGAAACGCAAGCTGGTGACTGTGCAGAGGAGTTCACTCCATTTCTGGCCCGAAGCTTCCCGACTTTTTTGGCCCCGACGGCTTCCAAGGCTCAAGACTTAGGTCTGAAAGATGTGACAAAGGACCTGCCCCAGGAAATGCCTGCTCTGGGCCGGAGCCAAGCCTTGTCTTGGCCCTCTGTGCTGCTGCCAGCCCCGGAGCCAGGCCTGCTGCTCACGGGGCAGCTGGCTGGGAGGGAGGGACGGAGGGAGTTTGAATGCAAGGAAGGAACTGAGCAAGTGTGGGTGTTTGAACTGAAGGAAAGAGTTGAGCAGGTGAGTAGAGAGTGAGGAACTAGAACCAGAACGAGAGGAAAGAAAGAAACAGAGACTTACGAATCTCCAGCTTCTGTAAAGGCGTCATTACCGAAAGTTCACTACTTTCTGCTACTTCCCATCTTTTCTCCTTGCACACAGACCTCATTTGTGTGTTTATTTAATAGACATCTTTGACTACTAACCTAGATGCTGGAGGTAAATGAATAAGACATAATCTTCCTCTCAGAGAGGGGAGTGTACAAGCCCAGGAAATTACTCAAGCCCGGGATCTCGTTGCCTGATCATTAGTAGAGGACACGGGGATCCTGACTCGAACGCTAGGACGCTCCTGGAGCAAAGGAGTCACCCACCAGCCAGGTCTGACCTCTATGTTTACCACAACCAAGGAAGGTTTTATGAGATCTTTATGTTTCTTTGCTAAAACATTGCTTTTTACTGTTTTCCATGTTTCTGTGAAGCTTTTAAGTTTTTTTTTTAATCATTGTTTAAGGGAATGTTGTAATCTTGCATGGAATGACTCTCATTTTTCTTTTTAAACCAGGATTGATCGTAAGATGTCAAATGCTCACATCAACTATAAACTGGATGAGGCCCAGGCTATAATGAGCGAGCTCCGGACCATCAAGAAAGCCATTTGCACAGGAGAGAAGGAGAGGCGGGACCTAATGCAGGTAAGAGGCCTGGGTGCTCTCCTGACCGCGTGGCCAGGCCTGGCTGCTCGCCTAGCTGTCTTCTGTTTCACGTTATTAAAAAAAATTTACTAATAGTTATTATATATTCAACTCATATATATATATTTGAAGGATGTGTATATATAGTATTATATATGTGTATGTTGTGTGTGTGCACGTGTGTGTGTAGAAGCATTTAAAAATAGGTGTGTCGTAGGTGCATCCCTCCAGTCTCTGCTTTGGTTGTTGCCTGGTGCTCCCTCTGTGCTTCTGGGTCTAGATTTTCCATCTGTAAGGACACCGGTCATTGAGTTAGAACCCACCCGACTCCAGGATGACCTCATCTTAACCTGATTTCATCCACAGACTCTGTTTCCAAATAGGCTCACACTCGCAGGTTCCGGGGGTTAGGGGTTGAACATGTCTTTCTAGAGGACACATTTTAAGCCACAACAGTGGGTGATACATTCATACTGTTCAATAATCAAAATAATTCAGAAAGTCTATGACAGGAAGTCTTGCTCTCACCCCATTCTCTCACCTCCCGTAACCACTTTTATTAGTTGATTGTACACGCTTCCAGTGTTTATGTGGACACCCGAGAGAGGGAACACACGTCTGGCTACCCTCACAAGAGCCGGGCCCACACCTGCCATCCTGCACGAGCCTTCTCACAGAGCACCAGCGCCTGTGCTTCGTCCTCCATGTGGCTGCGTAGTCATGTACTGTGGGGATAGATTTCAGTCATGTGGCTGGGGTCATTTATCTTCATATTGCTTTATTTTTTTTGCTCTTTGAACTCCTGTAGGTTCTCTTATTTGTAGTGAAAGCTGAGTTTTTGTACACGATGTATGCTGGTCTTTTTGCTTAAAGTTGGAATGCACTCAGTTGCTTATGTGAATGGCTTTTGTTTTTTGCTAGGCACAATAAGTGAGCACCTAGCACCAGGTAGGCATTTGTCTGGGTTCTGCAGAATGTAAGACACTGAAGGAGATGCGAAGCAAAGCTCAGACTCGTAGGCCTAGTGAGACAGGAGTGTGAATGACTGCTTGGCCCAGCAGTGCTGCCGAAAGCCAAGAGTACAGATTTCCCATAGAGTGTCCCCAAGCTGGTGTCAGTTAAACTGCAGATTCCTGGGCCCCACCCCATGCCAACTGCATTAGAATCTCTGGAGGTGGGACCCAGAAATCTTTATTTTCAGACGCCCTTTCCAGCTCTTTAGTGGTAAATAGCCAGTTGTTAGATTTCCTCCCAGCACTGGTAGCAGGAAGAGCTGCCGCTGTTTACCGAGGCCTCTGCGTGGCACTGGACGGGGGTGCTCCGTGGATGCCACCCATCTAAGCCACACCTGAACCCCAGCAGTGAGCTGTGTGGTAGTTCACCATGCAACAGGGAGGGCTCACCCCAGGAGGCTGAACTCCCTCCTTGCCCTGGCCTTTCTGAGAGTGCAGAGCTGGGGCAAGCCACCCAGTTGCCTTGAGGGGTTTCCCCACCATGGAGGCTGGAGACAGAGTTTCTGAAAGAAGCTTCAGACTCCGGCATCTTTTTGAGAAGTTCCATGGAGAGGCACAGGCGGTGTCCTCTGCTAGTAAAGTCAAATCCGCCTTCTTGTCTTTCTTGCGCAAACTTAACAGCATTGGCCTGTTCCAGAGCCAGAGCCAGCTGTGTGAGCAATGCTGCACCTGGTGTTTGCTGTCGACAGAAATATCTGCTGAATATAAATATATTCAAGTCTTTTATAAGTTGTAGAAAGTCTGATTTCTCTTTAACTTTCACCCAATGGGGCTCCATGGGCCAGAAAACATATTTACTCTAATTTTTGGCAAAGTAACATTCATAGGAGGTGACTTTTGACCATGTAGAATTAAGAGTGAAAAATCAGGTTTTAAAAATATGAAAACACCATCTTTGTGGTTTGTAAAGATGTCAAGGTGGCGTTCATCTGTGTCGGACTCAGTTCCTGATAGAACGTGTGGTGTTGGAATGTTTCCCCCTCTCCCTGCCACTTTATTGAGTGATGATTGACAAACTGTATGAATTTGAGGTGTACATGTGATGATTTAATACACATGTACATTGTGAAATGATTACCACAATTAAATGAACATTCTGTCACCTCACGGAGTTACCTTTTGTGTGTGTGTGATGAGAACTTTTAAGATCTTTTCTCTTAGCAGCTTTGAAACACACAATCCAGTATTGATAACTATGGTCAGCATGCTGTACCTTCTGTCCCCAGAACTTACTCACCCCTTATGGAAAGCCTGCGCCCTTTGGCCAGCATCTCCCCATTAACTCCCCCTCCCCAGCCCTTGCTACTCTGTTTCTGTGAGTTTGGCTTTTTTGTAGGGAATGTTTATTTTTTCCTTTGGGAAACACAAACGTTTAAACAGCAGCAAAAACGGTACCGCAGTTGTTCTCCACATTGTTTGCATGCTGCCAGAAGGACTCAATTGCTGCTGATATAAATTGCTGAGAATTTTATTAGAGGTGCACGTGGTAATAGACATTTCTTTAAATCTTAATGAGACTGGGGCTTGGGGTGGGCCAGCTCTTCAGTAGTGAAGCTGCTGACCTGGAGCCAGAATCAAAGGACTGTTCGTATAGAAGGAAGAGAAGTGTTAACCATCTCTGTTTAAGGAGCTTGTTTCACTCTGTTCCAGAGCCTGGCCAAGCTTACTGATGGCTTCAAGAATAGCTTTGCTCTTACTGACCCTCTGCAAGAGTTTCCTCACCGTCCCGGTGTGCTCGGCGACTCCTTACCGCAACAGTTCTGTGATGCTGGGTCTCAGACCGACATCATTGGAGAGGTATGCTCACTGGCGGCAAGAACTGAGGGTGCTGAGAGAGAAAAGGGCTGCTTTTGTGTTGCTGTCACTCATTTGTTTTAATTTTCCATTTTCTCTTCAGAAATTTTTTGGCTTCTGTGCCATTAAGTTTGAAGAAAAAATACTGTCTCTCACATCCAACTGTGAAGGCTCAGTGGCCTGGGAGGCAGTTGAATTGCTTACTACGTCTGCCCTTGTCATTTGGATCCTTAAAGGCGGCAGCATCCTTTTGAGAGTGTAGATATTTTTTTGACAGCCATATGACTTCTCAGAGCATAGATGAGCTAGCTTTTTCTGTAAGGTCCAGAGAGTGACTGTTTGGGGCCTTACTGGCCATGCAGTCTCTGCCACAAGTGCTCAGCTCTGTTGCTGTCGAGCAAAAGTAGCCACAGGCAGTCTGTGAACAAACAAGCATGGTTTGTGTTCCAATAAAACTTCATTCACAAAAATGGGATGGGCTGGATTTGGCCTGCAGGCCATGGTTTGCTGATCTCTGGCTTAAACCAGTGATTCGTGAAGGCTTCGTGGCTGTATCACCCTTGGCTTACACTTTGATGCTGTTTCGTATTCTTTTAAAAGGACGTCAGGAAATTGAATTAAAATTAATTTTGTTTGGGACTTGGAAGAATTTCGTAATGCCCCTTTTGACAACTAGTGAAGCCTTGAGTTAGCCACATAAAGTCAGCGATTATCATTTGAAGCAGGAAGCAGGGCAGCGAATACTCAGACACACCGCTTTTGTAATGTCATTGAGTGAACTTGACATTTATTTGTTACAAATGGAAAAACAATTTGGATGGCTTCTTTTTCTTGGGGCTTATTAAGTAAGGATAACAATGGAATGCCAAATAGCCTCCCCAAAATTAAATAAATAAAGAGGGGGAAAAAGAAAGGACAAAAAGTTGACAAAAAAACTCTGGGTCTTGAACAATTAGCTAACATTTTGAAATTTTGGCAAATAGTGCCTCTTTGAGGGGAGTATAAAATAACAAATAGTGACTCTTTTTGTCTTGGACATCCTGGAACGGCCTTGTTTACAGTTTCCCCTTTATTGTTCTTAAAAATACACTTGGACATTTTGACCAGGCATCTTTAGTTTAAAAATGTGATCATCATCTATATAAGATACAAAGAAGAGTCTGTAAGTCAAGAATGTCTGGCATTTTTGCCTAAAGATTAGGTGTGAGGGAAGGAAAGTACAAGATTCATTGAATTCACTGCTTCTTATCATAAGGTAAGAATTAGAATTTAGAGACTGTATACCAGTTTGAGAGAAACAGGTAAGATCAAAAGTTCCCTAATGGTTCAAGTAAGACTTTCTAAAAATGTCAGGTGGGAAGTGGTGGATTATGCTATTGTAATAATTCCAGCAATAAATTATCATTATTGATGAGTCTGGTGGAGCTGGCCCTGGGTTGGTGACTTCATGGCTGTTCTCTCAGTTGAAGTAGTTTCTATCCCCTGTGACAGGTGAAGGGACCAAGGTGCCAGGTTACAAGGTCACGTAGCCAGAGAGAGGCAGGTATGGGTTTGAATCAACATCTCTGATCCATAAACCCCTGTGCTTTTTACTACATCATGTTGTTATAGAAAAATATGTCAAGAAGCTATAACTGTATTAGTTAGCTACTGCTGCATAACAAATTACCCCCAAACCTAGCCTCTTAAAACAGCACCCTTTTATTACTTCACACTTACAGTGTGGGTCAGGAGTCTAGGTTAGATCCTCTACTTTAGGGGCTCTCACAAAACTACAATCAAGGTGTCAGCCAGGGCTGCAGTTTCATCTGAAGGTTTACCTCGGGAAGGGTCCACTTGCAAGCTCATATGATTGTTCACAGGATTCAGTTCCTCGCAGGTTGCCGGACTGGGCTTTGCTTCCTTGTCATACCTCTCCAGTGTGGCAGCTTGCTTCATCAAAGTGTGCAAACTGAGTCTCCTAGCAAGTCAGTCTTTGGTAACCTAATCAATCGAAATGCCTTCCCTTTATCTTTGTTGTATTCTATTGGTTATGGTCAAGTCATGGATCAAGTCTCACTTATTAATATCTCAGTTATTAGTATCTTATTAATATCTCAGTTATTGCTTTGAGTCAGTTTTGTGGTATGGGTGTTGATATCATCAGATGTGCTTTTTGAGCACAGGATTTTGCAAGCATAGATTTGTAAGCAATACAGGCTTAAATTGGGATTTAGCAGTTGGGGTGAATGCTGTAGGGCTAATAGGAACTGTGAAGCAGGAACCTTTTGGATCTGTTTGGCTGTAGGTCTCTTCTTTTTTGACTAACGTGTCCATTTTATTCTCAAAGGAGAGTGCAAAAACAACTTGGCAGCCTGTGAACAGCATCAAGAAGGGGTTTAGAAAATGATATTTGTTGGTCTTGATGAAGACCAACTGTGGGGGTCTCTAACAAACATGGTGGTGAGGTGATGAGCAGTTCTTTCCAGTATAGAGAGTTTCAGGAGCTGCTGTGATGCTGTAGACTAAATAAATTTTTTTTGAGGAAGTCATGGAGGGGGGCATTGGATGAAGCTGTCGAAATGTGCAAAATTGTAATGCATGCCATTGGAGAATGCTTAGTCCCTCCGAAGGCATTTTCATCTTGCCATTCAAAGCAATAGAGATGTAAAGAAATACCCCATCGACAAATACCAAAACTTGTATCAATAAATTCATGACTAATCATTCCAACAGAATATTCTCAAATATTTGTTGACATGAGGTTATTTTTAAAAAGAAAGACTTGGTGGCCCTAATATGTGGTCTAGTAAGGTCAAATCTACAGCTGGAGCCAATTTATTGAAACTAGAGCCGTGTATTTCCAGGAATGAGGGAAGAAGTAACCAAGGTTAGCTGTAGTTACCTCCTGCATAGGTCATTTTTGTTGTTGTTTTGCTAAGGAATTTGTTGACTTCAGTGGGACTGGTATGAAAATATTTAAATACAACTCGTGATCCTGTCAGAGTACTGCATTCCAATTCCAGCTCCTATGTGATGTGCCCCATCCCAGGCTTTTCCACGTCTTGCTTTCTTTCCTTTTACCTTTGATTCTTTGACATGCGGTGGAACATTCGAAGGAGTTCTTAGCCCATGCCTCGCGTAGCTAGTCCATCTTCTTTAGATCCTGTGACTTCTTAGGAGAACATCCTTATTTTGTGTTGATAATAGGAGTGAGAGATGATACTGCACAAAATGGGATGGATTTCTTTTGCCTTCCTATTAACTTTTACTAAGTAATTCCCTATTTATTTTAAAACTTAATTTGTTGTTGTTGTTTGTAATTACGCAGTAGATGAACATACATGCTTAAAAACAATCCTCCAGTGTTGGGAAAGCAAAGGTCTTCCCCTCCCTCCTCCCAACTCCCCACCGACCAGAGGTGGCTGCTGAGTATTATTTGGCGTGTTTCTTTCCACACCTTCGAAAAATGGAAATTGAAAGATGAATTAAAATATTCTTCATTGTTGCTGAAAGTGTGAATGAATTTTCTACCTTTATAATAAGTTTTTAATGTTTGCTTTCTTTTTTTTCCCCTTTGTTCTGGAAAGTTTGTCTTTGATGATAAAACAAGACTTGTCGACCGAGTCAGACTTAATTGGCAGTATGAAGAAGCCAGAAAGAGGTAAGAAGCTCCTTTTTCAAATCTTGCCTTCTTTCTTCAGGTTTTACTGAGTTCCACTGTGTGATTGTCCACTTTTACTTGGAAATTAGTGTCTGATAGAATTCAAAATAAAGGATCTTCATTTATGTGTAGCTTCTTAATGCATATGACAAAACTTCATGTACATTTAAATGTGAAGTTCTCAATATTGTGAACAGTTATAAAGACATGATTTAGTAAAAATAGAGCCTTCTAAAGGTTTCCTTTTCCTCCAGTAGTTCAGAGCCCCTCTCTCCATCCCTCCCTTCCTTCTGCCTGAGCATAGGTCCCTCAGACCAGCTTAAGCAAAACTGTTTAATCTTTTCTATATGTGGCTTCTGACTCTGTAGGTTAATGGAAAAAGCCCTGTATCTTGGCTTAAAAGACAGTTTAATAAGAAATTAACCAACAGGTGATGGTGATACTTAATCTATTTCATTTTGATGGAGAAAATTGAACGCAGTCATTTCTATTCACCTGTGTTGTAAATCATTTGTCATCTGAAAATTGAGACTAGGCCTTGTCTGTGCACTTTCAAAATTTGTCATTCCCTCTCTCCTTCCCAGTCTTAACCATGGGACATGGGCAAACCACAGAGGTGGCATGTGTAACCTCACAGGTGCATGGTATTTTTTTTTCTTTTATTTTTTTATTTTGGTATCATTAATCTACAATTACATGAAGGACATTATGTTTACTAGGCTCCCCCCTTCACCAAGTTCCCCCCACAAACCCCATTACAGTCACTGTCCATCAGCATAGTAAGATGCTGTAGAATCACTACTTGTCTTCTCTGTGTTGCACAGCCCTCCCCATGCGCCCCCCCCGACATTATACATGCTAATCGTAAGGCCCCCTTTCTTTTTCCCCACCCTTATCCCTCCCTTCCCACCCATCCTCCCCAGTCCCTTTCCCTTTGGTAACTGTTAGTCCATTCTTGGGTTCTGTGAGTCTGCTGCTGTTTTGTTCCTTCCGTTTTCCTTTGTTCTTATACTCCAGAGATGATTGAAATCATTTGGTACTTGTCTTTCTCCGCCTGGCTTATTTCACTGAGCATAATACCCTCCAGGTCCATCCATGTTGTTGCAAATGGTAGGATTTGTTTTCTTCTTATGGCTGAATCATATTCCATTGTGTGTATGTACCACATCTTCTTTATCCATTCATCTACCGATGGACATTTAGGTTGCTTCCATGTCTTGGCTACTGTAAATAGTGCTGTGATAAACATAGGGGTGCATCTGTCTTTTTCAAACTGGGCTGCTGCATTCTTAGGGTAAATTCCTAGAAGTGCAATTCCTGGGTCAAATGTTATTTTTTTTTTTTTTTTTTGAGTAACCTCCATACTGCTTTCCACAATGGTTGAACTAATTTGCATTCCCACCAGCAGTGTAGGAGGGTTCCCCTTTCTCCACAGCCTCGCCAACATTTGTTGTTGTTTGTCTTTTGGATGGTGGCCATCCTTACTGGTGTGAGGTGATAGCTCATTGTGGTTTTAATTTGCATTTCTCCAATGATTAGCGATGTGGAGCATCTTTTCATGTGTCTGTTGGCCATCTGTATTTCTTTGGAGAACTGTTTGTTCAGTTCCTCTGCCCATTTTTTAATTGGATTATTTGCTTTTTGTTTGTTGAGGTGCGTGAGCTCTCTATATATTTTGGATGTCAGCCCTTTATCAGATCTGTCATTTATGAATATATTCTCCCATATGGTAGGATGCCTTTTGGTTCTATTGATGGTGTCCTTTGCTAGGTGTACAGTATTTTTTGTATGTCCCTGCTCTAGCTTTCATACCCTCTTTCTAGAGACTTACTTTTGTGCCCTCGGGAGAAAGTATTAAAACCAATTTATTTCAAAATATATGCTTTAGAAAGCTATGAAGCACATCTTTCTAAAAAAAAAGTTTCTTCAGTCACATATAAACTATTGTCTTGAGGGGTAGGAGAGAAGCAGTGGAATGCTCAGCAGGGTGAGGGCTTCCTTTCTGGAAGCTAAATAGTGGGGCCTGCTCAGTATATTGTATCATTCATGCATGTCTGGAAATCCACTTTGTTGCCTTTTTAGAAAATGTAAAAATAGCAACAAAAGCAGATCATATGACTCCCTGCAAGAGGGCCAGCTTGAATTCACATAGGCTTCTGCTTGTTCAAAGCTTTTATACTCAGTTCTTCCTGGCTTTTCACGTTGTATTCATTGTGGGCTTTAAATTTCCACCCAGATGGCCGCCAAGACCGTTCAGTCCTGCCGCTGTCTCTATGGTCATATTCTCCATGTATCATGCATCCCTTCTCCTGAGCTCACTGTGTTTGTCAGGCGCTCCTGTCTTGGAATATTCCTCTGCTCATTCATGCATGTTTCTACTGGAACTGCACAATGTGGGTGCTGGAATTTGCTGTGCTGTATTAAAACACAGGAAATCGATGGTTGCTACACTTAGGAACAAAGTTGTTACATGTTCTGCTGTAATATTTACCAAACATAGCATAGATTTCTTGGTTCTCTAGAAATGGTGTTGTTGGTACACAGTGAGTAACCTTTTAAATGTGGAAAAGTTGAATATTTAAGAAAATTACTCAGGGGAGGACACTGCACTTCATTGGTACCTTTTAAATGAAAGTAGGATTTCCGGATCACCAGAACCTCAGTAGGAATCTCACTGCAGTCACAGAGGAGGGTCCTGTCCCCAGCATTATAACCTTTGTGAGACAGGGGGCTCCTCAGAAATGCCTTTCTGGGCCTCATTGTCATTTAAAAATCAGAGGTGGGTTGTCAAGATGATCCTGGAGTGGCTTGGGCAAGCATGACCTGTCTCTTCCCCACTTGCACAGGGGTTCCCAATAGGGGGAGTAGGGACTTAACCCCCCAGGGGATTTGTGGCTGTATCTGGAGACATTCTGGGTTGTCATAACTCTAGGGGAGGTGTTACTGGCATCCGGTAGGCAGAGGCCCAGGGTGCTGTTCCACATTCTCTAGCACACAGGATGCCCCCACACAAGGAATGATCCACCCCAAAGGTCACTAGTGGCGGGCTGAGGACCGCTGTTCTGTGTGGAGGATTGCGACGTCTTAGTGGGGCCATTCGCCACTTGATTTCCCAACAGCTAATCTGTGTTGGTGACTGCAGTAGCTTTACACCCCGCAGGAGCACGCAGACGCTCCTGGGAGGCTGGGAGATGGTACTTCTATCCAGTGCTTGCCTGTTCCAGGTCTCTGTAAGAAATTGTGTGGTTTATGTGATGCAATCACATATAGTCTTTAGCCTCTGCAGCAGACAGAAATATGCGAGGATACCATCAGTCCCGGGCAGGACCCCATCATGGGGGCCCACGAGGGCCTTGGAAAGGTTTGCTGTGCATCCTAGGTCTTTTGAGTTGGGAAAGTTAGGCGTGAGCCATCCAAATGGGGGCATGTCCAGCAGGGCAGTTGAAGGTGCCCATGTGGGAATTGCCAGTATATAGATGGCACCCAAGTCACTGAGGGGCTGAGCCCAGCTCAGGAGAGAGAATCCACTGAGAAACGAAGAGAATCCAGGACCGAGTCGGGAGAAAGTCCAGTAGTCACTGGCTTGGTGAGGATGAGGTTGGCCAGAGGGGCGCAGTAAACAGTCTGAGAGTCTGGCTGCAGTGCGCAGAAAAGGAAGAAAACCTCAGAAAACACTCCCTACCCGGGCATCTGCAGCAGAGGAAGAGGGGCTGGCAAAGGGCATCAGGAGGAGAACAGAGAAGCGGAACCCGGGGGTGGACAGACAGGCCTCTGCTTCCTGAGCACTGTCCCGAGGTGTCTCTGGTCTGCAGTGCACGGGAGAGAAGGGCAGCATCAGATTTGTATAAACCCGGTTTACTTTTTTCTCCTTTTAAAGAACTCTTATTCTGATAGTTTCTTCTGTAAAAACAGCTTTCTCTTATGAAATAATGACCGTAGTTGATGAGAGTTGGGTGTTTTCAAAGGCCTGGGAAAATGAAAAGCTGGCTGTCCTCCATCAGCTCCTCCCCCTTCCTTAGAGAGGATGGGCCGGGCCGTGGGAAGTGTGACGTGGGCGGTGATCCCTGGAATTCAAGGAGGAGCCTAGTGAGGAGGGAGAGTTCCCAGGGCTGGCCTGGTGGTGGCGGATTGTTTAGAAGGCGGGTCTTGATTCTGATAATTAGTTTGCTGCTTTCACTGGACTCTAAGCCGCTTAAAAATGTCCTGGAAGCATTCGTGTTGGCAGAGCCCTCAGCCTGTTGGCCTAGGCGCCCCCAGGCAAGTGCAGCGCCCCTTGTCAGGCACTCCGGATCCGGGTGGGGTGGCACTCCCAGGGCTTAATGAGATTCCACCTCCAGTTACTGGAGTTGCTCCGTACAGTTAAGGCTTAACTAACTGGTGACTGAGTTCAGGCCGGGACGCTGCTCCACTGTAGGTCATAGAATTGCCAGCTGCTCCTGGCAAGGTGCTGGACCCCACACACCTCATGGCATGGTCAGGACCACCCTGCATTCCCCCCCCCCCCCCCCCCCCCCCCCCCCCCCGCTAGGCATGGGGAAGTTAGTGGGTCAGTGTCCTTGGGTTCCAGAGCTGTCAGCCAGCACCAGGTCAGAGATTTTATTTCAGCTGCCTTTCCTGTGTGTTCTTTCTGCCTCTAAATGAGACACATGATTAGAACAATGCAGACTTGGAAAGAGAGCAGTAGTGAGCAGTTCTTTGCCCGGAGCTAAATCTAGAACCCATGTTAACATTACTGAACCCAGGTTATGAGGACCTGGGTGGAGGGTAGCTTCCTTACCCTTAGCAAAACCTCTTGGGCTTGGCCACTTCTAAGTGAGAGAAGTTTATGCGTTAATGTATTTCACAGAACTCTTTCCATGTGTCTCTAGATTTGAGATTGTCTTTTGGAGTTGGGAAACCATCAAATTGCAGTGTTCTGAACAGTGAGGTGTTTCGTATGTATTAGGAGTTAAAGGAAGTTTGTGGAAGTAGATTCATCATTCCAAGTGGTGGTGATTTCTAGAGACTCAGGTAGACCAAACTACTGTCAGGGCAACAAGTGCTGTGTTGTCAGCTCAGGCTTCTTTCTTTCCCTCAAGGAACATTGCTTTGGATTCCCAAAAGGACCTTGTGATAGTAATATTTTCACATTATTGGTGAAAAATTTTAGAATTTTTTAAAGCCGATTCCGAGGAGCAAGTTTTCTTGAAGCAATCCCAATGAGGCAGATGGCTTCTTATTTTTAACCTCATAGCACTTGCTCCAGAACTGTGCGCACACTGTAGCTGTTGCCGTAGAAACACTCCGAGTCCAGATAGGAGCAAGGCCTGTGGCCCATCCGGTTTCTCCGCATTTTAGCGTTGGGTGCCAGGATGGGTCCTGCGGTCCATCCACTGTCAGGAGCCTGTGCAGCATTAGGGTTCCAGTTGAAATTGGTCAATCATATGGCTTTTTCATTCATTTCTCAGGTGACTCTGCATCTGGGTGTGGGGCTGGAACATGGCTAAGATAAACACACAAGCATTCTGGCTCTTGTAGCTCCATCTTCCCCATTCAGGCCAAAAGAAAGAAGCCTGGGCATGGTCTGCTTTTCACTTAAAGAAGTCCCTCTCTGACGATCTGTATGTTCAATGGGGAAAAGATGTGAGGCCAGGGAGGGATATTGGGCTATTCGCAGACCCTTCTTACCCCATATTCTCTAGATGCAGAATTGTTGAATTTCCAGTCTAGAATAAAGGGACGAGCTGAATGGACACTGAATGGTTTATTGATGTTTGGTTCAATCAGCTGAAGTAATTTCATAGTCCATCTGACTTAGATCTCCACGGAGGTTTCCTTGGGCTTTTGCTTCTCATTTAAGTGGTATTTATAGAAAGAAAGCTAAGGAGAGAAAATGCCAGAAGTATCAGTTCTGTAGCTGTAATTGGACTCTGAAGGCAGGAGGCTCTAAGCTGACACTGTGGCCTGGAATGTGGCACTGGGACCCGGCCCATCTCATCACTGTCAAATGGGACTGTGGCTTGCCTGGAGTTCCGTTTCTGTTCCAGAAAGCAGCAGTATTTTAGGAACATGTGAAATTTGATAGTGGACTGCAGAATTTAATTGGGGATTACTCTGGGCATGTAAAATATGCCTCAAAACTGTGTAATATTAAAAGCGCATTTTTCCTTAGAAAACTGCCAGTGACACTGAAGATTTCCATGTGAAGTGTGAGGGTCTGAGCAGTTTCTGCAGCATAAGTGCAGGTTTCCATTCGTGGTTTAATAGTGCCTGGGTTGTAACAGAAAAGGTGTTTGGGCAAAAATAGTAAGGGAAGAATGAGTCATGTTTTACCTCTGTCTGCATTATATCTGTTCAGGGAATAGAATTGGGAAATCACATAATAAACATGAAACCTAAATGCTTGATTGAGGATTTGCTTCCATTTCTTCACTCTCATGAGCACAGGGACATATATTTTAAAGCTTTTAAAGGCATTTGTGAGAGATTATATATAGGCCATTAAACACATTACCTGTCAGAAATAAGAATCAACAAAGAATACAATTGACTTGTAGGAAAAAAAAACCCAACAACCCTCACCAATTTTTAAGTGGCTCTTAATTCTCTTAAAAATGAACTTGGAGAAATTGTGCGTTTTTTTGCAAACTTTAATCATGACCTCACTTTGCTTCTGTCTATTTAATTGCATTGAAATGGTATTTCAGAAAAAAATCTCTCTGGAAATTTTCTCTTATTACCCAGAAGTGGAATGATGGCCCTTGCAGGATTGGGGTTCCATCCCTCAGATCAACTGTTTGGCATGGGTGTGGAAGGGGGGCATTGTAGTTCTGTACATCTGTGTCTGGCCTTAGTGGAAAGTCTGTTTCTTCCGGTAACCCTAACGCATACAGGGCCCTCCTTGCAGATGGCTTGTTTCCAGGCCAGCAGCACAGTAGACAAGGCATGTTGTTTTAACGGCAAAGCCATCTTGGCCATCCCTTGGTGAATGTACAAGAAATCATTGAAGGAATCCTTCTAGAGCCTTTCGCTTCCATTGCAGTTGGACAGATAGAAACATGTACTCCACTTGACCCAGCTGAGAGCAGGCACCAAATGTCTGCATCTGGAGTGTGGATATTGGGAAGGAAATCCCACTTTGCAATATGCCAGTATTCTTCTAGATTCATCTATAGCTCTGAAGTGAGCATGTAACCATTTGCATCACTGACATTTATTTTAAAAAGCACTATTCCTCAGCACAGAAAGGCTTGCCTAGGATTCAGCACAGCCCAAACAACTTTTTCAGGTGGGTTGTGTGAAGTCAGCTTCATCCAGATTTCATTTCTGCTTACGGAGGTTATCCCTTGCCATATGTCCTTACATATTTTTCTAGCAAGCTTTGGAAAGTTACGGTAGTGTTGAAGTTTGGCTGCTGAACTATTTCATTCATGCCTGCAGTATGCAGACCTTTTGAAATTTGCCCTTTGCCTCTTCTCTTCCTATCATGCATTTTCCCCGTTTTTCTGATAGTGGGCCTTACTTGAGATTTTCTGGAAAAAGTAGGATTATCTATGATTGGATCTCCTGCCGCCCTCAGCAGCTTGCACCCGTCCTTGTAGGATGGCCGCTGACGTGGAGCTGGCCAACTCTACTTCATCTCCTCACATGTAAACCTCAGAAAATTCAAAGGGAGTGCATTTTGAAATATGTCTGCCTGTAGCGTATGTATGAGAATTAGCTATATTACAAGGTAAGAGTGCTAACTTGAGCTGGGCCCAGATAGGCTTTCCTGTGGACCAGAGAAATTGGAATAAAAAATTATGAGGTCACAGGGGATTTGCTCATTCTTGTTCATCGCTTTTATATTTATTCCTTACCTTTGACGTGTCTTGATCTACAGTAGAATGTTCCAGAAATTTCATCGGGTATAATGTCTCATTTGACACTAACTTATTTATGGGTCTACTTGGAGTCTATTTTCCTTGGGCTTTGGTTATGACTGCCATAAATTTTAATTACACTAATTAGACATAGGTGGATGCATAAGCCCTAACCCTTCTCAGCTGCTTCTGTCATTAATTTTTTTAGTGACATGATTTGGCACCATTTTCCAACACATTTTCAGGAAATTAGTTTTAAGTTAGAAAACTTTCATAATAAAGCTACTGACATTCAGCTATTTTTTTTTACTTTCATGGGGAATTGGACTTGAGTAAAATGCATACATTTAAATTATAACTTGTATATTCTTTTCATAACTGGGTTTTCTGATTGGTTTGGTACTTGAAGGAGTCTTGCCTGGTGGCCCAGCCAAGCTGACTAGGCCCCACGCTTGTGTCTAATTCTCATTAGACACGCCAGTCACGGGACAGAGTAGTCCCAGGAGCACTCCTGCCACTCCTGTTCTAGTGAGGGGCGCCTCCCTAGAACATGGTGCCTCATGCAAGTCCCTTAGAGCTGCACGGCCAGTTAGTATCCCCCAGCCCAGGCTGCGCTGCCTGAATGCAGAGGGCGCCAAATGTAACCACACATCAGAAGCACCTGAAGGGACTACCAAACCCCAGATGGCCCAACCCTGTGTCCATAGTGTCGCATTCAGCAGGCCTGGGGTGGGGCCCTAGGTTGGCATTTGTAACTAGCTCCCCGGGGAGGCAGAGGCTGCCAGTCAAGGACTCCAGTAAGACCTGCAGCCTTAGCGGGTATGGGGCCCCGTGTGCCGGCCACTTCCCTGTCTCCACAGCTCCCTGTGACCACAGAGAAGCCTTTGGATTTTGTTTTGGGGCATGTATGCCAACATCTGTCCTCCACAGCACTGAGTTCAGGGCAAGCAGAGTGTCCCATGTTTCTGCCCAACAACAGCCAGCCCTCATCTTTAGCCACGCTTAATCCTGCAGGGCTTAAAACATACTACTGCTGCTTAGACAGGTTGCCCTGGAATTTCGAGCCACATGCATCTCACTTAATCTGCATCCAGCAACACCTCAGGACACAGACAGTTATGCAGCTTGTTTGCCGAGCCAACACATGGAAATTTAGGCACAAGAAAAGTGACAATAGAGTCTGTATTTTTACACGTGGGGGATGGTCGTGCTGATACATTTAGTGAGGCTGAGGGCTTTGTATCTTCCCCGCTTACCTCATGCTGACATCCATGCTCACTAGGGCTGACTCATTCTTTCATATATTTGCTAACATGTTTGTTCGCTGTTTGATCTGTTCAGCTTTTGTGGAGTATGTGCTGTTTGCAAGGCATTGTAATTTCACACACGGTCAGGGTGTCGGGTGCAGGAGACCATTCACTGGAAGGTGCAGAGCCCCGGGCTTCAGGGACTTTCTCATCAGCAGCTCTGTGCCTTTCTCTCCCATCGCTTTCTCGTGGCACAGTTAGCAGGTGGGCTTGGCGGCGGAGGCGTGAAGCTGGAAGCATCTCTCCTGTGTCCAGCGCTGGTTTACCTACCAGGGTTGGGGGGTGGGGAGAAATGAGCTGCTCTGCCCCACTCTGGACAGCACCACGTAAGAAAGCGCCAGTCCAAAACAACACAGTGCAGGAGTGGCGGCCTTTTTGTCAGTTCATTGAAACAGGCATGATACACTTACTGTTACCCTGAGTCTCATAGACTTGGGGAGCTTATGCAAAGAACTGACCCATCATTTTTATTATCCATCAGTTCCAAGTCCTTTATTTTTGTCATTTAAGGTTCACTCGGTGCCGTAATTTCAGTATTTACTTAGCAGAGTGAGTTTCCAGACTCATGTGATGGTGCTGAGAATGCATGAAGGCCACATTTCAAGCTGATGGATTTTCCTATGTTCATCTCTTGCAGAGTCTCAAATATCCAGCAGCAGTTGGCCCAGCTTGATAGCGAACCATGGCCGGGCATGGCCGAGGCTGACAGGGACCGGCTGCAGCTCATCAAGGAGAAGGAGGCCCTGCTTCAGGAGCTGCAGCTCATCGTGCAGCAGAGAAGGCCGCCGGAGGACATGGTCCGGCTGGAGGAGGAGAGGAGGCGCTTGGAGGAGGAGATCCAGCGAGCCCGGGCCACATCTGTGCAGGGTGCCACGGAAAGGTGGGCCACCTTCCAGAGTGCCAGGCGCAGGCAGGACTTGGCTTCTAGCACAGAGCCCACTCTGAAGCTGAATTGGAGAACTTGCACGGGGCCTAGGCCACGGTTATTACTCCAGGTGGTCACTGCCTGGCATGGGCGCCTTCCCTTCTGCAGGGGGTGCCAGCTCTGACTGGGGTTCCTGAGGCTTCTGGCCCTGTTCAGAAGTGGGTGAGGGGAGACAGGGGAAGCCACCACTTGGGGCCCACCCCTTCCCAGTGTGGGGTGCCCCAGCCCACATCTGTGGGACAGTGCCCTGGTCAGGCGTGTTGCCAGCAGGCCCAGGAGCTGCTGGTGGTATGGCTCTGGTGCACCGAGTCTGGTTCCTGATGTCGTCAGTGTTGCGTCACTGTGCAGCTTACTTTTATCTCTGACTTTGGTGCCCCCTCTGGAAAGCCTGCAGCCCACATGTGCCTGCTTCCAGACGTGCCCCTCCTCAGTCGCTCTTGGGTCCTTGCCCAGCAGAGGACATGTGAAGCCAGCACAGGTCCTGCGTCTTCTGTCCTTGGCTCTTTGTTGTGTGCTGGGTTGCCAGTTTCCCTGTGCCATGTGTGATCATGGGCTGTGTTGAAGCCTGGGCCTGCTTCCCACATGTCACAGCTGTGGGAAGCTGATGTGTGGCATCTGCTGAGCTTTGGAGAGCCCACCGCCCTATTGAACCTAGTGATTCCTTAAAATTCAGTGTATTAGCAGCATCACAAGGTGTTCTATATGATCATCCTCTACAGTTTCATAGTCACCTGATCTGTACAGGTGTGCTCCTACCTCACCAAGTGTCAGGATTGTTGTCTGTATTTCTTGGGGGCTGCTTATGCTTGCACAGCGACCGTTAATTGGTACACAGGTCTGTGTCATGACATTAGGGGCTAATGGCCACATTGGTGGGATGCGGTGGCGGTTGGAGAGTCCGGCTCACAGGACTGGGCGGGGTGAATTGTCCTCTACCTGAGGTGGTAGGATGCCCTGTTGCCTCACTTGAAGTAAGCATGGAGTTGATTCTGGGCCTGAAAAGGGACTGTGGAACAGAAGCCCTCGCCCGAGCTCCTGTGCCTTGGTATTATTTCAGTGAAACATGACGTTCTGCTCTGCCCTTGGCGTTCTATTGTGAATGTTCTCGGTGGGAGGGCCTGGGCCTTCCAGGTGGTTCTCTCTTAAAGTGGGTGGATTCAGTCCCATGAATGCCACCTGCTTCTCAGGACCCTACACGCATGTGCCTGTGGCTGTTGGTGCTTTTGCCGTGAGGGAATCCCAGCGCACGTGAGTGCTGTGGCCCAGGGTACAGATCCAAGATGCATGGAGCCCCGCGAGCCGGTGTTACCCTTGATGCTGGGCTTCAGGGGCTGGGTCACCCAAGCTCACCCAGATGATGCGGTCTCTTGTGGGACTAGCCCAGGAGCTCAGTCCTGGGGCACAGAGCCCTCAACTGGGGTGAATTGGCCCAAGTGTGTCCCCTGAAGCTGCCACTAGAGGGCCTTGGGCAAGGAGAGGCATACATGTGCCAGTGAGGCCCTTCAAAACCAGCTCTTTCTCTCGCACTCTGTCTGCAGCCTCCGCTGCCCTTCCGGGGCTCCTGTGGCCGGGGTGTACTGGGCCTGGTGCAGGCAGGTGCGTTCCTCTGTGAGCTTCCCTTCATTTGAGCTTGAGATTTGGAAGTCCTTGCAGATGGCCCTGAAGTAGGAGGCTTTCCCCTGAGGGGTGCTAGCGGAGACCCGAGTGGAGCCGTCACAAACAGACCCCCGTGGGCGTCTCAGAGCTGAGATGTACAAGTCTGCGTGGCTCGGCTTGAGTGTCTTCACTGTCAGATGGAAACTGTGAGCTGAGCTAGTGAACCTCACTGGGGCACGGGGGATGTAGATCCTTTCCTCTTTCAAAGGAAAGAACCAGTTTGATGGGTGCCTTCTAGTGCACATGTTACAATGCCATTGCTTTGATTCGTTCTAGAGGCAAATATATTCATTCCTACATTCATTCAGTAACTATTTCTTGAGAGCCTGTATGTGTCAGGCTCTATTCTAGACAGAGGTCTTAGTGCACAGGAAAAAAGTTCATTTTAGAAATAATAAAGTAGACAGAAGTGTAAAAAGAAGGAAAAAATGACCACCACCTCTGTGACACTTGCTGTTTTGTTTTATTTGTGTCTAATCTTTTAATTCTAAATTTTAGAATCGCATATAATTTTGCCTAGAAGGGTGCTTTAGAATGAGCAAATCTGATTTGTTCCAAGGATTCCAGTAAATTACCACGTGCTCTGCATGTGATTTCATCTAGCGAGTCTCACATCCATCTGCTCACGCACCCTCCCACCCACATCCATCCATATGCCTACCTACCTGTCTGTCCATGTAGCTGTTCATCCTCCCATCCATCTGTACATCCACTTGTCCATTTGCCCATTCATCCAGCTCTCCATCTATCCACCAACCCATCTACTGAGCTTCTACAGTGTATCAGGCACCATTCAAACGCCCAAGAACGGTAATACCGTAGGGGGTGGGTGTGTGGTATAGCTTCCAGGTGCTACTTTTTAAGGGGCTGATCAGAACTTCTAGTTTGACCACAGGACCCAGGATGCTCTACTCAGGATTTGCCTGTCGCCCTCCCTCCCTCCCATCTTTCCAGCTTCTACAATGTGTCAGGACCCTTCAGAGGGCTGGGTGAACATTTTCAAGCAAGACAAAAATAATTCTGTTATCTTAGCGTGTATGACTTAGATATGCCTTTTATAACTAAGCCATTCAAACCAAAATCAGTCTGGGGGAGTTTATAGTTGGATTTCTTGTTAGGAAAATATACTCGCTGTCTTTGAAATCCACCAATGGACTGTTTTGTGACCTACAGGATTCTACTTCAGGAGAAAAGAAACTGTCTACTTATGCAGCTGGAAGAGGCGACCCGCCTAACATCCTATCTCCAGTCCCAATTAAAAAGGTAGGTGACCTTAAAAGAGAAAGTTATACCTAATTACCAAGTTATTCGGACATGACCAGAACCTCGTAATTCCCTTTAGCTTGGTTTCCTCGGACCAGAACTCAGATCCTGAAGGGGTGTGAACACGGAATGGAAAAGGGGTGCGTTAGATTTTTAAGAGGAGCTGCTCAGACACGATTCAAGGAATACGAGAACCAAACTTGGCTGCATCATAACAAGTCTGAAGTCAGATTTATCCAAGGCTTTTGTAACAATTCACTGCTTCAGAAGTGTATATATCCATCTGCCTGTGTGCACGTGGACATTTTTATTTGGGGTTTTTTAAAGGCTATGAGTCTATTTAAAATAAGATTCAGGTGCTCAAAAGTAGCTCCTATTTTCTTTTTATTAAGGTATCATTGATACACAATCTTATGAAGTGGCTTCTACTTTCAAGTACTGACTCTGTTGTGAAGCAGAGTGTTATAGGCTTTTAGGTGTTACTTTCTGTTTTTCCTCCTAAGGATGCCACGAGGTAGGAACTCTTATCACGGTCCCAGTGAGAAAATGGGAGGCTCAGAAAGGGCAGATCACCTGCCCAAGGGGCTTAGCTAGTCTGCACTTGATCTGGAATTTGAACTGAGGCATGAGTCCTTGATGTTTACCACTGCTGTCTACTGACGTTCAAAAGAAACAAAGGAAATATTAATGCAGGTGCCTTAAAAGTGCTCACAGCTGGGTAAAGACGTGCTCCAGTTAATGGGAGGATGAGGCAGGTCTGTTCCCTTGTGGAACAGACCAGACGCTGAGCTGGCAGCAGCGGGCTTGAGCCCCGGTCCCCAGACTGCTTTCCTAATAGCTCTGGGCCCTTCCGTTTCAGCCTGTCTGCCAGCACCCTGACGGTGTCCTCGGGGAGCAGCCGCGGGTCCCTGGCCTCCAGCCGGGGCTCACTGGCCTCCAGCCGGGGTTCCTTGAGCTCCGTCAGCTTCACCGACATCTATGGTCTTCCACAGTACGAGAAGCCAGACGCCGAGGGCGGCCAGCCTCTGCGCTTCGATCTGGTTCCTTTCGACTCCCTGGGACGAGACACCCCCTTTCCAGAGCCCATGGGCCCTGTGGGCTGCCACAGGCAGAGGCGTTCTCTGGACACGCCCCAGTCCCTGGCATCCTTGTCCTCCCGCTCCTCCCTGTCCTCGCTGTCTCCCCCGAGCTCACCCTTGGACACACCCTTCCTCCCTGCCTCCCGTGACTCGCCCCTGGCCCAGTTGGGGGATGGTCTTGAGGTGCCTGGCCTGGGCACCCTAGACAGATTGCGGGCCCAGGCCTCTGCTTTGGGGGAGGAAGATTTGCAGGGCACGGCGTCCCTTCAGCCTCACGGATTCCCTGGGGACGGGGAAGGCCCTCGCGAGCGAGGACCCCAAGTGGCTGCTGCTCCTGTGGGCACAAGTGAGTATTGATCAGTCCTGGCTTTTCCCAGCCCTGGGAAGAAAGGTTTCGAATTTGAGGAAGACATCCTGTGCAACTGCGTTGGGCCAGCTGGCTCTTCAGTTCCATAATGAGCTTTAAATTTAGGACTGTTGGTAGGATGGGGAGAGCACCTGCCTTCTCTTCTGCTTGGTTTCCCTGGGGACCCGCTGGTCTGTGTCTAGGAGAGGTCACTGGAATTGGCCAAGTAGTCGTTACCAGGTGTTTGCGCATTTTCAGGGTGTGCCTGATTGTTGAAAATGAGACTTAGAACTACATAGTCCTGCATGTTCAGAGGGCCTTAGTGAACTCCCCAAGGTGTGTGCCCAGATGGAGCATTCTGTATGTGCTGCCTAAGACCAGCACGCGGGCCTGTGTCTGGTTGTAGCCCAGTGGAAATCTCTACTTCCTTTGTCCCTGTGACTTACTGTCTTCATCCTTTGTCCTTATAGTTTTCAAGGACATAATTTTATCAAACACAGAAATGAAAATAATTGGCATAATTCCAGAAGACATTCCAGTTCCAGTAAGCAACAGTCATTTCTATCAACTGGATCTCTCGGGTGCTCTTTAAGTCGAGAAACACTGAGTCACAGGGGACTTCATCTATCCAGTCCCTGTTAATTCAGCTTCTACTTGGTGCCGGGATCTGTCAGCTTGTAGCCCACATGGAAAACCAAACTGCTGTTCTAGAAAATATTCTGGCTGATGGCTGGTGCACAAAGCAGCGCCTGGGCTTTAACCCTTTTCATCTTGATCTACTGTGATTTTTTGAGCCAGCTTCTAGCAACTTTAACTTCCTTAGGTTTTAGAGAAGATCAAGAACATGGTCTCTCATTCCTGAAGTTCAGCCCATTTAATTAACTTTTATTTGCACAGCAAAAAAGATATTACATATTCCATCTAGGTGAACATGAGCTAATTTATATAGCACAGTGGAGCTCAATCAGGGGAGTTTTTGCCTCTTGAGAGATACTTGGCAATGGCCGGATACGTTTTTGGTTGTTATAACTGAGGGGGGTGGCAGGAAAGCACCCCTGACACCCAGTGAGTGGAGCCCAGCCCTACTGCTCAACACCCTGTAGTCCCAGGCCAGTCCCTGCCACACAGAGTGATCCAGCCGAAGCGTCGGTCATGCCGAGGCTGAGAAACCCTGGTCACGTACTGTTGAGTGGATTAGCAGCAAAGGGTACAAATAAAACATGAATGCACAGCTAGGGTAGTGTGGTGGAAACGGCTTCAGACTCACAGTTTAGAGACCTGGAATCTGTTCTTTGCCCCATGAACTGGCTAGCTGTGTGACCTTGAGTGCAACCCTGCACTGGCTAAGTCTCAGCTTCCCTGCCTTTGAGTGAGGTGATGAGGAAGATCTTCTTAAAGTTTGTAAGGACCCAAAATGGGCTCTTCCATTCACCACCATTCTGTTACCCATGAGTTTTTTATATATAACCACACTGGATTTTTAGTAAATAATAAATACTAGTGTCTTTTAACACTTCCATGTTTAACCAGAGATCTCTTATGTCTGAGGCAGCCCCTGGCTTTTCGGCATCTCAGTTACTTTGGGGTCTTGGTGTTTGTGTTTGCAAACACACCTTTCATACCCCCCCATACATTGTTTCTGTTATTCATATATACAGGTGACCCTCATTTGCTTTGTGCTTCTTTATAATTACAGGTTCAGTGCTCCACATTTACTCTTTTCATTTAAAAAAGAAAATACAAAATAAGGACTGAATTGCACATCTGTTGTCACTCAAGCTTACTTGTTCAATTCCACCCCTTTTCCCCCAACCTCTCTTTAAAGGTTGAGATATAAGAGTATCCGTCTCATTATGCCGAAAATCCACATGAGGCTCAAGGGCCCTTTTGGGCCAGGGGAAGGACAGGCGGGGAGGGAGAAGAGCTGACTTAAGTGCTGATTCTGAGTTTTAGGATTTTTCCTTCCCCCTCTGACGGACATTATAATGGCTCAGACTTCTTAAAAGACTGGGCGATTGTTGCTTGTGCTACCCTCAGATACTGTCAGTGGGTGGTGAACTCCTGTCTGTTGACTGGCGCTTACAAACTTGAAATAACTGCTTAGTGATTGGGTCCTGCTGGGCCCTCCCAGAGGACTGGGTGGGGGACCAGCTTCCGGCATGCGCACAGGGTGACTCCCTACCTCTGCCAGTGCTTGCGGGAATGTCTTAGCCTGCAGTCATCGCAGCTTCCTGAGTTGGGAGGATCTCAGTACTCACTGTGTCACCCCACCCTTCATTTATGACGCCCAAGGTCACAAAGTGTCCTCAGACTTTTCACCAGGAATAGTACAATCTAAGTGTGATCTCAAGCAAGTTTTAGCAGGATAAAATTTTAGTTAAGATGAAATTCAGATTTGCCCAAACCTACGAGACAAGCTGTAGGAATGATTTTTTCCTTTGTTCTACATCAGTCTGAGGGGACAGAAGGCGGGGCAGGGGAGTGGGGAAATAGACTGAAATCTTTAACATTTTTTGAGTTTTACTAGGGTTTTAACTTTCTGGGACTTTAATAGTCATATGTGTCAGGATTCTCAAATCTTGTCCTATTTCCCATTGGTATTTGCTAATCTACATCCAGGAAAAACTTGACTTTGCTTACCTGTTTATTGACATTTTTATTATGTTCATACTCTGTTTAAAATTACTGGCCTAAATTCTGTAGTTTTTTCACTTTGTGCTTTTAATCTCTTTTCTCATGCGGCTGGGCAGAAACATTCACTGTAAGTGACCTTGGAATTCTCCCTCACCTTGTTGGTCAGGCTGTGGGCACATCTTTGTGCAGTGAATCAGTGTACGTGTGATGGTCCGGGGTGTGGTCAAGAAGGGCATATCCTATAGTACTTCAATGTGGCTCAAGTTACCATTACTATTATTATTATTATTTCAACATTAACATTCATCGTGGCGACTCAAGTTGTGTACAGACTTTTCTAAAAGCTTTAAGTATTTACTCCTTTATGTGTTTTTCCCCAGACTTTAATGGCTTTCACTGTTTTAGTATGCCAGCTGGCAGCTTTTCCCACAGTGTGATTTTCATTATATTTTCTCCCTTTGTATCGAGCAGTGCTGATGTCGTTAGGCCTCAGTGTCTGTCTGTCTGTCTTTAATGGAAGGTTGGAGAGTTTTTAAATGAATGTTTGGGAGATTGTCCATTCCTTTCCTTGCTGGCACTGCACCATGGTCCAGCGTGCTGCCTGGAAGCCTGAAAGCAGGTGGCTGGGGTGTGGAGTGTGGGGCCCACCGGGTGCTTTTTTCTCACCCAGGGCAACTGCTGATCATACTTCCTCCCTCAACTGCCTCCAGGTGCCCCTGAATGCGGGGACTGAGCCTGGGATCACTGAGGGTTAATTCCTTCATTTTCTTTCTCTTTTCATCAACTTCCATGGCAAGAAGAGAGAAATGTCAGCTGTACCATCAGGTTCGCTGGGAGCACTTAGGACCGTTGCGTGGCTGTCTTCCCTTAAAGGACTGCAAGGTCATGTCCAGGCACTGTGCCGAGTGTCAGGACTGGGAATGGCAATAGTGTGCCGTTTCGTTTGCTGGGCTTCCTTCCGTCTGCAGTTCAGAGCTGGGGCTTGGGGTCCTTCCATGTGGCAGAGGTGACGAGAAGAGCTGGGCTTGGGAGAGTCAGTGCCAGCAGTGACTCCAGAGTGCAGCCAGCTTCTGTCCCTGACTGAGGGTAGTCCCCAGGCTTGGTATTGCAGACCTTCAGAAGGACAGCCTTTGCCTGCAGCTGTGATCATGAGACCAAAGATCACAGACAGCCCCGTCTATGTGTATGCTGTTTAACATGCTTGGATTTAACTGGGGTGTGAATGATAATTTGGTTGAAAAGAGAGATGGTCATGGATGTGACATAGCCCTCAAGTTAGGGTGCACCGGCGTCTGGATTTTCCATTTCTAGAGCTTAGATGGCTGAAGAAAAGCACAAAAAGGCCAGAGGGACCTGCGTTATTACCGAGAGTTACCCTGATCAGTTCGGGGCTTCCTGTTTTAGTCCTGTTTTCTAACCAAGTATGCCTCTCTGGAAAACATTGAAATGCCAGTGTGCACATTCCCACTTGGCATGGGAAGGTTATGTGCCTATTTATATTGCTTTGGTGAAGAGGAACTTGGTGCTCCGAGGGAAGGAGTAGAGGCAGTTGATGTAATGTTCAAAGGGAAAATGTCAGTGGTTATCTTTGGCCCTTGATTAAAATAGATATGATACAAAAATATGCTGCCTAGTAATGAGAGCTTGCAAAGCCCAGAAAAACAATTCTGGAAGCAAACCAGGCCCCAGGGTGGCTGAGGAGGATACTGTAGTTAGAGATGACAGCTAGTCAGGAGATGTTTTCAAAGGCTTAGTCTGGGGTCAGCTGTGTACACTGACTTGAAAGTTACTCTATTTTGTTAGGGCTTATTTGGATAATTAAACAAAAAATTTTCTGATTATAAACCAGTACAGTATACATTTATTGTATAAAGTATGGAAAATACTAAATAAAAAAGGAATGAAAAGTAGCCCAGTCTCACCGCTTGGGGAGTGCAGCTGCCATCCACATTTGGGGTAACATTTCTTTCCCCATCTTTTGAGTATGACTTTTCTCAAAGTGCAGTGCGAAGGGGCTTCCCACCGCCATCTTCTGTTTTGTATGCTCATTAAGAAAGTGAAAAGAGATTTGCGGCAGTTTAAAGAGCTTTACGGGGAGTAGCTAAAAGCCTGTGAGTTAAATTTTTCAACATTAAAAAAAAATTGAGCACAGTGTATTTAAACATATGTACGTACATGTAAGGTCCTGTCTGGAACACTTAGCAACTTCGTGTGTGCTCTGATTTAGAGTGTCCATTTCTCTGCACCGTGGTCATGGCCTCCCAGGCTGCCACCTCCTGACCCCGGGTGTGTCTTTTATCTGTAGCGGTGACTCTTCGAGAAGACAGTGCTAAGAGGCTGGAGAGGAGAGCGCGCCGGGTCTCTGCCTGCCTGTCGGATTATTCGCTAGCCAGCGACAGTGGGGTGTTTGAGCCACCAACCAAAAGGTTAGAAGCTGATCTGACCTTTGCCCTAAGCAGCCTTCGCACAGGCTACTGTTTATCATTAAGAGGGACCCACACCTAGACTTCATCCTGAAACTGCGTGTGCCTCAGAATCCTTCTCTGGCTTCTGTCAATTTCGGTAGGTTGGGCCTTAGCAGCCTGCCGAGAAAACTGGCTTCTGTGGCTTGGAGGCTGGCCCTCCTTCCATGGGTCTAGACGACTTCTCTCTGGCCCTGGTGTTTTGAGGCTGAAGCCCATTACAGTTGGAAAAGGAGAACCAGTGTACAGCGGAGACCTGCTTTTCCGGGAAGGACGTTCATTAGAATTTCCTCTCCCTGCCTTCTGTCCTTCGCTAGAGGAGTCACTTGGCAGTGAGAAAACACCTTTTGGGATTCTGGGCTTTATTTTGATTTGACATCTTTGATGTCATTGTTTCATCTCAGGTATCTCTAAGACATTTCATTTCTTGGCAGCTTTTTAAAAGTTAATTTTTGAACTTTGCCCTGAATGTCCCATTGGCTTTGAGAGGTATGCCAAGTTATGTCCTCACAAACAGCAGCACTTGTAGGCAGAGGCCCGGGGAGACAGGCCATGGACCCCAGGGGGCGCCCCACCCCGCTCTCAGTCTCTTAAAGAACTAATTTATGTTGCAACTCAATAAAGCTGTTTTCAGTGAGAAGCACCCTAACACTAGAGAGTGCGTCCCCAGACACGCAGTAATCAGGTCCCTGTGGAGTTAGCCTGGGACTTTCTGGTTTGTCAGGAGTGAAGATGCTGAAGAGTCGGCGCATGGAGACTCTTGTGGGAACGAGAGGCCCCAGATCCACGTCGGACTTCTGTGAGTACAGACAATGCCCTCTCTGTTGCTCCTAAAGGTGGTCTGTGGATGGGACCCCCGGCAACACCCCTCTGCACGGGCCAGACTGATGGAGGGCCTGTGCCATCCAGGCTGCTCCACGGCCTGGCCTCCTCTCCTGCCTCTGCGGTCCCAGGTCAGGGGACTGGTGCCAGGGAAGGGAGACGGGGACGCTGGGCTCCCTTGCTGCCGTCCAATGCAGCGTCCCAGCCAGGACTGGCACCGCCTGGAGCTGGGTTCCGTGCAGGGGCATGGCGGCCAGGCTGGGGCCAGGAAGGGATGGTGCGTTTTTCCCGGAACTGACCTGGTGAGGGAGGCTGGAGAGCCAGGCCCTCCCCTCCTCCCTGAGCCGGCAGCCCCGTGGTGTGCCATGGGAGGCTTTTTGGTTTCTAATGACAGTTTGCATGGAGGCAGAGCAGAGAGCGGTCAGGCCGGCAGGGCAGGCCGCGGGCAGCCCAGATTGCTGTGGCTCGCTCCTGTCCTTCGGCCCAGGCTCTCGCTGCAGGCCCTGCTGCCTGCCACCTGGGACCGGCTGTGTTCCGAGTAGCCCTGGCCTCTGGCCCCGGATGCCAGGAGCTGCCCAGGCCTGACTGTAGTGTCAGATGTGGCACACACACGCCAGGGTGCAGGGCCACTGCTGTGGTGCAGGTGGAAGGCTCTGTCCACCGTGGGCAATTTGCCATCTGTGAACTTGCATCTTATTTTCTAGGCTCGACAGTGCCAGTGAGTGTCTCCTCGTGAACGTGCTCCAGCTGAAGAACTTGGCTGGGCTGGCCGTGAAGGAAGACTGCAAAATGTAAGCCCCCAGCCGGCAAGGGTGCAGGTGCCTTCCTTGGAGACCGGGGCCTGTGTCCAGCCAGCCAGTGTCTCTCCTGGGCCCTCCTCCACGCAGCACTGCTCACTGACCTGTTTGCTTGGCAATTTGGGGAGGGAAAAGGCTGTTTGGGAACCTGAATTTGGAACAAAATACCAGAGATATCTGTCTGAAATATAAAGGATTGTACATTTCTAAGGGTCCAGTTGTTTGACACAGTTGCAAGGAGCCTAACTAGCAGCGAGGTAAGAAAGGGCCTGTCATGGCGGGCTTTGGGCCTCGAACGCCCATCCCAGGCTCAGGGCTCAGGTGACATTGTGACGAGGTAGCTGGAGAGGCCTCTGGCTGGGACCAGGGATCCTTGTCCGAGGAGAGGAGAAGGAAGTACCTGTTGTCACCAGGCAGGAGGTACTCCCTCTGTGAGCTCCTGGGCGAGATGGACGCCCAGTGCAGGGTCCCACTCAGCCGGTGGTGGGGCTGGTGAGCATACCTGTCACGGGCTGTTCAAGCCCAAGGGTGGACTCCTCTGCTGGGAGCCTTCTTCCTAAGCTAGTCCTTTAAAGGTCTTGGAAGTAGCCTAGTTGTAAGTGGCTGAGGGTTCAGCTGGGGTTTCGCTCACCCTGGTGATGGACTTGGCAGTGTTCCCCAGTACTTAGGCTTCTCCAGTGTGCTGAGTCCCATGCTGAGGGTGGACAGGGCAAGAGACCTGGGCCGGTGGGCGGACAGCCTGGAGGCAAGGCGGGAGGCACTTGTGGAGGGAGCCAGGGGGCCATGGACAGCTCAGTGCTGGTGTCTTCCCAAAAAGATGGTAAAAGCAGACCCTCCGTGTCTCAAGTTGTGACTGCTAACTATTAAGCCTCTTTGTGAGTAGTTTTGCCCCCCAATCTCCAGGGGCACATAACTTCTTTGGGCTTGCTTACTTGAGAAAAAGACCTTTACTGAAAGACTTTAAAACTCTGCTCAGGGGCATCCAGATAGGGAAACAAGTGTACAGGTGCGTGTGGTTCGTTCATTTGATCACACAGACCTGTCAGTGAGCGTTCCGTCCATCTTCTTGTTCCTCCCTCATTCTGCTTCCAGACACATCCGCGTCTATTTGCCACCAATCAACTCTGGCACACCGAACTCTTACTGCTCGAAGGCTCTGGAATTCCAAGCCCTTCTGATATTTAATGAAGTTTTCAGAATCCCTGTGCAGTCCAGCACATTGACATTGAAGTCACTTCAGTTATATGTGTGCGCAGTGGCTCAGCAGCTGCAGGAGGAACTACTGGTACGCACGCCCCCTTCTTTGCCTCCCTCTGTGTCCCCTGAGTCTGTCCTCATCTCCCCACCCACCCTTTGTACTTCATTATTTTCCGGGTCTCTATCCGTCGTCATTCACTCTCTCTCGCTCTCACGCTCTCCGTTTTTGTCTGCCTTTCTTAGTCTGTCAGCCTGCCTCTCTCCTTTCTTCGGCTCTAGCTCCCTCTCTCCCTCTCTCTCTCTCCTCCTCCCTTTTTCCTGTGGTGGGTTGCTTAGGAATTGTCACTACGTTAACTGTTCTCTGTAACTGGAAGTACACAAAGGGGTGATAAAGCCATTTATATTGTCAAGTGTTTTATACTTTATATTATATACTATATTAGTTATAACTATAACTAATAACTTGTAAAACTACTATGTGACAGCTTCTATATTTTCCTCATTTTGAGTCAAGGGAACCGAGTGGAGTTGACAAATTTGGCAAATAAAAATATAGGATAGTCAGTTAAATTTGAATTTCAAGAATGCTGGGGAAACTTTTATTATAAGTACACTCCATGCAGTATTTGGGACATACTTATACTTAAAAAAAACCCATTGTCTATTTTGAAGTTCAGGTTTACCTGGATGTCCTCTGTTTTATCTAGTTGCCCCAGAACTAAGAGCATGAGCAGTACCCCAGCCATGCAATGCCAGGCCCAGGAGTTGGCAGCCAGGTGGTTTCTTCCTGAGGCTGGAATTTTCCCTCCTAGTCTCGCCCCTCAGTAGCAGAATTAGAGATGGTAGAGTTCACCCAATCCTCTTATTTCAAAGATTCCTGGGAGAATCAGTGTCTCATCCAGTGGCAGACCCTGACCCTGACCCACTGCTCCAGGGTCCTTTGTTCTCTGCCCCTTCCCCTTGCCCCTGCCCCTTCCCCTCCCCCTCCAGCACTTTCTCACTGGGATAAGCCAGCAGTTGAGGAGCTGCCCCTGTGAGGATACTCTGTGGGCACTTTCATTTTATTGCAGTCCTTTGAATGGCAAGGAAACATTTTATGTTTCCTGTTAGGATCAAGGGTGACCTTGATGTTTTAAGAGATCCCCTTATGGTTAAGGTGAAGGCTTTCAGGGCCTGTTCTGCTTTTTAACACCCGTGCAGGGCATTGCTCAGATTAACCTGGCTGACTGTGACGGTTCGAGCGAAATGCAGCTGCGTTGGTACTCAGTCCAGGTGTTCAGCAGCGCCGAGCCGGCCCGGGCGAAGGCCAGCGGGCGGCCGCGGGCAGGAGAGAGCGCCGCTGGGGACCCGGGGCACAGCGCCCCCGGGAAGACGGTGGGTGCGGCCTGGGCGGGCTGGCTTTGACCAGGGAAAGGCCTAAGACACATCTGTGGAGCTTAGCCTTAGCACCTGGGGGCAGTGAGGCGGAGTCTCATGGGAGGTCAGAATGGGGCCTATTGGTATATATGGGCATTTGTGGCCGTCATTTAGTGCAAGCATGTTAGTGACCCGGAGTGAGTGGTGCGTTGGTTTCCACTTGGAGCCCACAGAGCTCTGCGGAAAGGCCAAGTTTCCGTCTTGCTGTTACCAGGGGGCGGGTTCTCCCCTTGAAGAGCCAGAGGGCACTGGCAGCTGTGGAGGGGGTGTGGGCAGTGGGACAAGGGCTGTGGGGACGGTGGGGACGCAGGAGGTGGGTGGTGGGGATGTGGGCTGCGGGGGTGGTGGGGACGCAGGAGGCGGGCGGTGGGGACGCGGGCGGCGGGCGACGGGATGCAGGCTGTGGAGCCTCGGGCAGCAGGGACTCTGGCAGCAGGAGGCGCCGCTTCTGGGCCTGCTTCTACTTGGCAGCGAGGGGCTGCGGGCTGGTGCCGGTCCACAGAAACGCCCTGTCCCCCTGGCAGGACGCGGTGACAGTGCTGCTGGCGAGAACCACGGCCCAGCTGCAGGCGGTGGAGCAGGAGCTGGCCGAGGAGCGGGTGAAGCTGGAATACACGGAGGAGGAGATCCTGGAGATGGAGCGGAAGGAGGAGCAGGCCGAGGCCGCGTCGGAGAGGTAAAGGCAGACTGGCCCCCTGGTGGCGCCTTTGCCGCCAGGCCCCCAGAGAGGCTGCGCATGAAGCCTGCTTTTGGGGCTGAGGCTGCTGTCTCGGGAGCTGTGCCTTTGGGTGCAGTCGCCAGTGTAGAATGTGCAGGGCGTCTCTGCAAACCACTGCCCAGACGGAGGGATGCATACTGGGAATACAGTGTGAATCCGATAGGGTAATGCCAGTCACGTGTTTCCCAACCCCTGGTTAAGCAGTCCACCTTCTTTTTGTCCCTCAATGCCTCTTTTTTTTTTTAATTTGGCAATTTTGACAACAGTTCTTTATTAATTTTTTTTGGTGTCATTAATCTACAATTACATGAGCAACATTATGTTTACTAGACTCCCCCTATCATCAAGTCCCCACCACACACCCCATTACAGTCACCGTACATCAGCGTAGTAAGATGCTGTAGAATCATTACTTGTCTTCTCTGTATTGTACAGCCCTTCCCGTGTCCCCCCCTACATTATGTGTGCTATTCATAATGCCCCCTTTTCTCCCTTATCCCCTCTTTCCCACCCATCCTCCCCAGTCCCTTTCGCTTTGGTAACTGTTAGTCCATTCTTGGGTTCTGTGAGTCTGCTGCTGTTTTTCCAATGCCTCTTAATGAGTGGGACTACCCAGTGGTCCACTCTGCAGGACTGGATACAGTAAGTCCCTTTTAAGTGTTTTTAAAAACTTCTTTATTGAGATATCTCCCTATCATACAATTCACCCATTTAAAGTGGACAATTCCATGGTTTTTGTATAGTCTTAGAGTCATGCCACCATCGCCACAGTCAATTTTACGGCATTTTCATTATGCTAGAAAGAAACCCCACACCCATTAGCAGTCAGCCCCCTTCCTCCCAGCCCCTGGCAACCACCAATTTCCTTGTGATCTCAGTGGACTTGCTTCCTCTGGGCATTTCCTCTAAGTGGTATCACACTATGTCCCTTTATGTTTTACCTGAACCAGCCTGTTGGCAATTCCTAGACTTGCCATAGACCTGTCTGCCATGGAGGAATAATTCAGGTGAACAAGCACCTGGAGGGAACTGGTTTCTGTCTGATCCTTTCTAGAGGCACTTTCTTGCTTTACTTCCATGTTTTTCCATAAAGAACGTGGTGCTTCCAAAGCTTCCTGCTGCTTCCTAATAGCTCTCCCTGAATTTATTTTACAGAGGAATTTATTTTAGGGAACATGCTTGGCAGATGGGGAGGTGCACTCAGGTGGGTGGGAAGCTGGGCGTGGCTTGGGGAGGGGGGTCCAGGATTCTGGCATCTTCAGCTGGGTGGTGCAGACAGGCAAGTGCCTGTAATGAAAGGCCCAGTGGCACTGGATTCCCTACAAACATACAGGCCCTTAGGCTTTGCAGGAAAGCAACTGTCTTCAGTCATTGGAAGCAGGTGGGGCTTCCTGGACCTCTCTGCTGCTCTGAAGGCAGCAATGAACTCAGTCCCTTGATATACTTCTTTTTCCTCCAGTTTTATAAGCAATGCTATATTTTATTTTTCTGACACCCGCAGCTCTAGTGAGTGGTTTTGTATCAAATTTAATGGCGGTTACACAGGATGTATCACTCATGGGAAGGTGAGGAAAGAGAGGGAACCACAAAGTGAAAAAGAAAAACAAAATCCTGAAGAGCTTTTAGCATCTGTTCCAATTCCCACATTAATAAAATTGACTAATAAAGGAGAACAGAAAACAAGGTGGGCAGGGAAGGGTGTGCTGGGGAAGGAGACAAAGACCCCAGAAGGCCACCCTGATGCCTGTCCTGTGGGCTTTGGCAATGCCCACCTGTAGGAGCTGGCAGGCCGACTCGGTGGATAGTGGCTGCAGCAGCTGCACCCAGACCAGCCCCCCGCACCCAGAGCCCTGCTGCCTTGGTGTCCACTCCATCCACGGACATGTGTGTGCTGGCCAGGCAGACCCTTACAGCCCCGAGAAACTCCAACCCCCACTTCTTAAGGTGAGTACAAGAGCTGAAGGGGTTTGATGGGCCCCGGATGTTTTGCCACCCCCCATGAGCACTGGCCAGGGAGGATAGCGTGTGAGCCATGAGGGCAGCAGCAGGCGGAGGAAGCCAAAGCCACCAGGCTCACGCAGAGCAGAGCCATGTGGCGCACCTGCAGACCCGCCTGACACACCATGGGGGCAGCAGGAAACCTGACGGCGCTGTTGGGTCAGGGCCGATAGCTAAACAGGATGGTGCTGAGAGCTGAAGAGAGCAGTGAATGCCCAAGAGCTGTAATCGGCTCCACGTGGGCACGGCAGGTACCTTAGAAGTGTCTGTGCACCTTAGATTAAAAAGGAAGGACAACTCCCAACTTACTGGGGTAGATTTTTACTCCTTCATACGCCATCTGGTGGTGAATCCCCTCCCTTCCCATCCTGAGGCCCCGTGTGGCTCAGCATGTTTCCTGGGTCCCTAAGATTTTGGATGATTGAACTGCTTTTGTCCTTTTGCCATACTGAGCACAGCAAAGCATCCTCTGGCCCTTCTGTTCACCTGATCCTAGCTGTGCTCATCACCACACCTCCGGTGAGGAAGTTTTTCATGTTCGCAGTGACAAAATGTCTAAGGAAGCCAGTGAGGTTGGGAGACTCGGAATCAATGCCCTATTGAAACTTTTTTCCCAAACCCCTCAACCCATCAAAACATTTGATCACCCTGGTGCCTACCCTCACCCCAGAGCACAAGTACTGAGAGAGTGCAGTCGGCCCTGGACAGCTCCCATGCGGCAGTGGCCAGGCGGCACCTCTGGGGAACTGGTTTGGGTAGAGGCCAGGCATCACTGTGGCCCAACTTGACCGAGCCCTTTAAAAGCATTGGCCCGAATCGGGGAACAGCTGTGGGAAGCTCGTTTGGTGTGTGCTCCCCATCCCACATGTTAATTTTGAAACACTGCAGATCTATGGAAAAGCTGCTAGAATAATACAAGTATAACCATATATCCTGCACCTGCCTTCCCCAATTGTTAGCTCTTCATCATAGTTGCCTGCTCACTTTCCCACTTTGTACGTGTAAGTGGGCAGCCGCTAGGTGTCACAGATGCACCAGCAAAGAAAGGAAATGGGAAGTCCTGCCCTCAGGGGGCAAGACAGCCAATGACAGGGTAAATCAGTCAAATGCAACAGTGTTTGAGATAGTCAGAGGGGCTGCTGGAGGAGAAGATGTTAGGGAAGCAGGTTTAGAAAGATTTACTCTTTCAGAAAGGGTTTTTATTTAGAAATATAAATTTGCATTTACATTTTCGAAAAATTGGGGTTGTGAACTGGCATAGCCTTTATGGAAAACTGTACAGAGTTTCCTCAGAAGACTAAAAATAGAACTGCCCTATGATCCAGTAACCCCATATTTGGATATATATCCAGAAGTGAAAGCAGGGTGTCCAAGAGATACTTGCACACCCGTGTTCTTAGGCAGCATTATTCACAACAGCCAGCAAGTAGAAGCAACCTGTGTCCACTGATGGATGAGTAGATAAAGAAAATGTGATCTATCCATATGGCTATTATTCAACCTTAAAAAGGAGGGAAATCCTGTTACTACTAAACCCTGTTAATTCTACAACATGGATGATCCTTGAAGATTGTGCTAAGTGATGTAAGCCAGTCATAGATGGACTAATACTGTAGAATTCCACTTACATGAGGTCCGTAGAGCAAGCAAATTCATAGATAACAGGAAGTAGAAGTGTGGTTCAAGGGCTAGAGAGAAGGGGAAATAGGGGAGTGGTTTAATGGGACAAAGTCTCAGTTTGGGAAGATGAAAATGTTCTAGTCTGTTTCCCAGTGAATGATGTGAATATGTTTAACACTACTAAGCTCTACACTGACAAATGGGTAAAAAGGTAAATTTTGTGTGTTTTTTACAATAAAAAAACAAAGGTAAGTCATGGAAGCCTCACTGAGAAGGCAGTTTTTGAGCAGAGGCCTAAGGGAAGGAGGCTCGAGAGCCTTGAGCTGGCCTGGGGAAGAGAGGCCAGGTGTAGGGAGCCGCGGGTGCAGACTGGGGGCAGAGCGGGGCCGGGGCAGAGGCTACCTGGAGCTGGGGACAGAGGGAGAGAAATGGCCAGATCACGCGGGCAGCTCGGAACTCTTTTTTCTCTAAAATGGTTGGGAAACTGGTGGATGGTTTTGAGCTCAGGGGTGACATGATCTGACTTAAGGTTTTTTGTTGAGATTTTTCTAACATCCTTTTTTGGCATGAAATGAACCATTTCAGAGCGAACAGTTCAGGGGCATTTAGTAGTTACAATCTTGCGTGACCAGCACTCTACCTAGTTGTGAAACGTTTCCATCATTCCAGAGTAAAACCCTGAACCCATGAGACGTCATCCCCTTTCCCCCATCCCCAGCCCACCAGCCATCTGCTTTCTTTCTCTATGAATTTGCCTATTCCTGACATTTCATGTAAATGGAGTCACACAGTGTGTGGCTGTTGGGGACTGGCTTCCTTCTCTCAGCCTCCTGGTGTGAGGCGGTGCCAGCACCACACTGCCTCCCGTGGCTGAGTGGCATCCCCTTGTGCTAGCACACACATTGTGCTCATCCATGCATCCATCCCCAGACATTTGGGCTGTTTTCACCTTTTGGCTGTTCTAATAATGCTGCTGTGAACATTCATGTGTGAGTATTTATTTGAACATCTGTTTTTAGTTCTCTTGGGTCTGCCTATGAGTGCAATTGCTGGGTCTACCTTCAGTTTTGCTGGGGTCTCCCTGGCTGCGGGGTTGAGAAGAGACTGAAGGGGTAGGTGGTGTGGAACTGGGGAGGCCGGTGAGAAGCCTATAGCACTCGTCAGGCACTAGGTGGTGGTGACCCAAACGGAGGGCTGGTGACAAGTGGTCACAACATACTTCACGTGGAGCCAACAGAATCTGATCTTGGACCAGATGTGGAGTGTGTGAAAGAGAGCAGAGGCCAGGATGATGTGAAGATGTTTTTCACACCAACAAATGGAAATGGAAAGTAGAGATCCTTGTAAGAGGAGGGAGGTGTGTGTGTGTGGAGGGGAATAGCAGAAATTCCGTCTGGGATGTGGCAAGTGAGAAATGTCAGGGCTCCCAAGTAGGGAAGGCAAGGACAGTTCACGTGAAGTTGATTGCTCGTGTTCTAGAAAAAGTCATGCTAATAATGAGCTACTATTTAGGTGGATAAGGAAACTAACACAGAAGACCTCTTCCTGGAAGAAGTGACGAGTCTTCCAAAAGAGAGGCCCAGCCGCAGGGCCCGCGGGTCGCCTTTTGTTCGGAGCAGCACGATTGTCCGCTCACAGACTTTCTCACCTGGGGCACGAAGCCAGTATGTGTGCCGGGTAAGTTGGAATTCCTCTGCCACCTGTCTGGATCATTTTCTTTTCTTTTTCTCCCTTGTTGTGTTTTATCTTTACTATTTTTGCTGAAAGGCATGTGTCCTTGCCAATAATAGCAATAAATGGGTACCATGCATGTTTGGGTAAAATGGGCATTGTGGTTTCATCTCCCCTTCACCCCGTGCAGATCAACTCTGGGTTTCCTCAGGAGTCTAATGCCATTCTCTCCAGACTTACCAGGTCGCGTACACGCCAGCTCATGGGCAGGCAGCAGCATGACTCATTATGTCCACCTCAGTCTAGGGAATGGCAAGTTGGAACAGGGAACGTCCTGAATTGGGTTGAGATTGGGAAGCTGGTCACTCAGTGGACAGACACCCTGAATTGAGCTGTGTCAGGAGTCAGCTTGGAAGACTCAGGGTGCGGAGGCACTGGGTGCTGACCCCATGTGTAGATTCACACCCTAGTGGGAGGGGACCACTGGGCGGTCTCAGCCTTGGCTGCACCTTGCAAGCAAGTCCCGTGGAGTGGCTCTGCAGAATGCCGGGGCCTGGGCGCGCGAGCTTTGGGAAGCCCTCCAGGTGGTGCTGATGTTGAGCCCTGACACAGGTCGAGCAGGAGGCCCAGCCTGCCGTGGTCCTTGCAGACGGCAGCATGTGGGAGGTGGGAGACAGCGGCAGTGTGACAGTGACAGCTCAGACTAGGAAAGAGATGGGAATTTTAAGGATAAATGGTCGTGACGCAGCGGCCTTCCATTTGGATTGAGGAGAGCTTTGACCCTTCCTGCCTTTGAGCTTGGTGAGAAAGTGCCTTCCTTTCCCTCAGAGAGGCTGCTGAAGAGCTGCTCTGCTGGGGCAAAGCGGAAGCTCCATCCCACCGGGGAGCCGCCCGAGCCCCCCGGGAGCCGTGGGAGTGCTGTGCAGGCCCGAGCCCACTCTCAGGCTCCGTAATTTGCCAGGACTCACAGAACTCGGGAAAACCATTCTCTTGAGTACCGCTTCTTACAGTGGAAAGATACAGGCCAAGGTTGGCAGAGGGAAGAGGCACGTGGGGCAGTGCTCAGGCCAGACGGACGAGGCACGGCCTCCAGTCCTCTTGCAGTGGCGCTGTGTGGGCAGTTCTGGTCGTCCGCCGCTGCTGGGAGAGAGGACCTGCCGGGAGTACTGCCAGGCACGGCTGCCCCACGGTGGCCAGGGTTTGTCGTGAAGGCATAGCCAGTGGCTTCCATGGCTGACCTTAGTCTCCAGCCCCTCCAGAGATCAAGCTGATGGCCCAGGGACCCCACCATAAGTCACATTGCTAGCAGGGACTGTCCGTAAAGGGGGAGGTCCTTTGCTTCCCCTGGAAAGGTTTCCAATGCCTATGCTCTGTTCTGTGCCCTGCTAAAAGCATGCACTTCCTGGTGGTGCTCTTAGAGGGCTCTGTGTGTTTGCATTTGTAATGGTGGGCAGTGGGGGCTGTAAGTTGCCCTGCTGCTGTGTTTCCTAAGTATTTTGGGTTAATTGGCATGGAAAACAAGGCCAGGGAGGCAAGGACTTTGGCCTACACACTGGTACACATTGATCCTGAAGCGAACACCCACCACCAAATGAAATACATAATATCTTGGCTTCCAGAAAGTAGGCATTATTTATTTTTCTTTTTAAAAGCAGCCCTTTACTGTGACCAGCAGAGTGGGCGTTAGTAGTGTTGGCTTGTCCTACTGCGGGGAACAAGTCTCTTTTTTTGGGAGGCATTTTTTCCCCAGCTCTTGCCAAAGCCAGAAATATAGCAAATGAGAATGATTGATGAAAAGCAAAAGGTGCAGAGGATGGTGCTGGCTTTCATGAGCGTCACATGTCGTACCAAGTCACAGATGGTATTGAGAGGACAGAATTTGTTCACTTGATTAGCCTGGAAGCCTGTGCTTCAGTTGGTGGACATTAAGGAGGGCGAGGTCGGTTTGTATTGTTTCTTTCATTGTCCTGGAAACTCTTGTATACATTTTACTTTAACTGATAAGTCCTGGTAAAAGCACTGTGTCCTACGTGTTTGAGTACCTGTGAGGAGAAGGGGCATGATCCACTTCTGAGCACACAGACAGAATGCATACTGAGTTTCTGAGAAAGTGCTTCTGAGCATCATTCTCTTTGTGCAGCTTTACCGTAGTGACAGCGACAGTTCAACGCTGCCTCGGAAGTCCCCCTTTGTCCGAAATACTCTGGAAAGACGAACTCTTCGCTATAAGCAGGTGTGTGCCACATAAATTAACATGGAATTTATACTTATTCAGGGAGTTATTTTTACACACCCTAAAAGCTCATATTTCAGGTAATGTTACTTAAAAGGTAATATATTTATATCCTTGTTTACTTAGATGAAATTTTTGAAAGTGTATGTAATGTCAATGTTACTAACATTTCTTAATTTCTTAAGATAATGTCATGACCTAAGATAATTCATCATCTTTACATTTTACATATAACAAATTAACCATCCTATATAAAAGATTCTTTTTTCTTTTTTGATAGGTTAGAAATTTGAGCTTTTCAACATAGAGCATTCTCCTACACAGGAGTCTTCTATGCTTTTCATTCTCTTTACTCTTCGAGATTTTTCTCCACATCACACCCATTCACAAAGTTTTGCTGTTTTTAGTTTGTGAGCTAGTGGTTTCCTGTCTTTTCTGGGCAAGGATTCTTTTGAAGAAAAAAGAAACCCAGATTTCCATGTGGCCATTGCATTCAGGGTAACCACTGATGGAGAATGATAGAACACATAATTCACCTGCAGAAGTATTTCTCAGCGGCAACACTGCTGACATTTTGTACTGGGTCATTGTTGTAGGGCACGCCCCGCGCACTGGAGGATGTCGAGCTGCATCTTTGTCCTTGTCCCACTAGCTGCCAGTAGCACCCTCTCCCCCAAGGTGTGACAACCAAAAATGTCTCCAGACATTGCCAAGTGACCTGTGTAGGGCCAAGTCACTCCTGCATGAGACCCACTGAACTCTATGACAAATTCAGCTGTGCTTTTAAGTGAATTTTTACTTATTAAGTTATATCTTATATTTGCATTTAAATTCTGTATGTGCAAAACAGTGTTATATGTGTGAAAAAGCACACAGCTCCTCCGTCCACTGAACAGCGCTGATGTGCTTACGCATTCCTGGTTTCGTTGCTGTAACTGCCACTCCCAGGGTTGTTTCCCATCAGATAGGAAGTACTGCTCTCAACTCTGCATACAAAATTCTCTCATCTTTGAACTTTGCTTGAATATGAATGATTTCACTTGAGGCTTAAATGGGGAGGAAAGGTTTTGACAGCTTGCATGTGTGTGTGTGCACATGCATGGGTGTGTATGTGTAATTTTTTTAAACAAAAGACGCTCATGTTTTATGACATGCTTTTCCCCCCTCAGTGGACTGTTTAAGATTTTCCATGTCAATATATATTTTCAACTTTTTACAATGGCTGCATTTTGTGCTGGCCTTGTAATTTATTTGATCAGTTTCCTCTTATATACTTTGGGTTTTTTCTGTCATAAAACTTAACTAGATCACTTTTGCACCTCATTAGTTCTGCCTTTCAGATATAAGTCAAATGAAATTTCAGAACCAAAGAAAATGCACGTTTTTTTGGCTTTTGATACGTATTATCAAATATAACTTCAGAAAGATTGTGCCCTTTTTTGATCCTGCCAGCCCCATATGAGACAGTCTATTTCTCCACATTTTTTCTCCACTTAGGATGTCATTAAAGAAAATAATCGGTGTCACTAACATGATATCAAACTGCAAATTTAAGTTAATCTCACCCAGATCTGTGGTTTTTTTTAACATTGGACCACGCGTAGAGAAACACCTCTCCGATAACCGTGCTTCACCTGTCTTCCGTGGAAGAACCTTCCAGTAGGCTGCACGGCGCCGCAGGCCTGGTTAGCGTGTATGCTTACAGCTGCTGTCTCCTGCAGTCCTGCAGGTCCTCCCTGGCCGACATCATGGCCCGTACCTCCCTGGACCTGGAGCTGGATCTCCAGGCATCGAGGACGCGGCAGAGGCAGCTGAATGAAGAGATCTGCACCCTTCGGGAACTAAGGCAGCGGTTGGAAGACGCCCAGCTCCGAGGCCAGACTGACCTCCCGCACTGGGTGCTGCGGGACGAGCGCTTCCGGAGTCTGCTGAAGGAGGCAGAGAGGCAGGTGAGAGGCATCCTGGGTCTGCCTGGTCGTGGCCATTGCCATTTGCTCCAGTTGTAGTTGGGTTCTGAAGTAAGCATTTCAGATGCTAGAACTGAAATTAAACAATCCAAGCGCTCATCTTAAGGAGCCGGGTCTCTCACTCCATGCAGGGCGGCTGGTGTCCGATGTGGCACCAACGCCCACCTATGGACTTTGCAGCTGCCCCAGGGTGGGAGGCCGGAGGGAGGATCACCCGCCCTCCTGCTGGCATCCCCGCTCCCTGCTTTGTGGTGGAATGTTCTGGGGTCCCCTACAAGGCTGTGACCCCAGTGTAGCTCCCGTGAAGCATCCCTGTGAGCAGTGGATGGGCCAGGCCTTTCTCTCCGCTGGGGCCCAGGGCTGGGAGTGGCTTCATTCATAATTCTGTAAAACAGGAAGTAAAAACATCTTGTCCTCCGATGTTGCTGTTTTAGACAAGACAGACCAAACTTGACCTCCATCAAGAACAGGCAGCTGAGAAGATGCTGAAGAAGGCCTCCAAAGGGGTCTGCCAGCTTCGAGGGCAGAACCACAGAGAGCCCCTCCAAGTGCAGACCTTCAGGTAGGGAGAAAGTGGGAAGCTGTAGGCCTCACTGTCCCTTCATTTTACGTTTGTACCTTTGTCATTGTAAGATGTAAAGTAATACTGAAAAAAAACCACGGGAAGTGGGAACCAAACAGGAATCTCCTCTGCTATTAGCCTTTTGATGTTTTCTTCTGATCTTCTTTCCTAGGCACTGTTTTTTTTTTTCATGCTGCTTGTAATCATAATGTAGGTTCAATTTTGCATTTTGCTTTTTAAAAATTAAAATACGCTGAGTTGCCACACAATCTGTTTTTTTGGCTGTAATGTCTCATCTAATAGATATAATTTACCTAACTTTTGTAACCTGCTTCTTTCCAAGTGTTTGCTATTTTAAACACAGTGATGTAAATATATGTACATATATGATCACCTTTGCCTTTTTAACTGTTGATTGAAATATAATATAGATACAGCAAAGTGCGCATATCGTGTATGTAAAATAGTTCAGTTAATTGCCACAAACTCCGTGGCAAGACTCAAATGGTATCAGCACCCCCAGATTTCCCACATCAGAGTAACCACTGTCTGGAGAATTTAAATGGCATAGATTAGTTTTCCCTGTTTTTGTTTTTTTTAATGAGAATTACATAGTTACAGGTATAATCTTTTGTGTCTGACTTTTTAGAAAATTGAGATGAATTTCATGTAGCATAGAAGTAACCGTTTTAAAGTGAACAGGTCAGTGGCATTTAGTACATTGACACTGTTGTGCAGCCACCCTCACTATCTAGTTTCCAAACGTTCTCGTTACCCCCAAAAGGAAGCCCCATTCCCGTTATGCGGTCACTCCCCATTCCTCCCTCCCCCCGAGCCCCGGCAGCCACCTGTCTGCTTGCTGTCTGTCTCTGTGGCTTTGCCAGTTCTGGATGTTTCATACAAGAGAAGTCTGGCCATGTGTGGGCTTCTGTGTTTGGCTTCTTTCACTTAGGATAACGTTTCTGCAGTTCGTCCTTGTTGCAGCATGTGCTGGAATTTCATTCATTCCATCCATTCATATATATATATATATATATAATTATTTTTATTTAGGTATCATTGATATATAATCTTATGCTCAGATTTAGTATGAGCAACATTGTGGTTACTAGATTCCCTCCTATTATCAAGTCCCCCCCACATACCCTATTACAGTCACTGTCCATCAGTGTAATAAGATGCTGTAGAATCACTACTTGTCTTCTCTGTGCTCTACTGCCTTCGTGTGCCCACCCCCCCACATTATGTGTGCTAATCATAATACCCCTTATTCCCCTTATTCCTCCCTTCCCACCCATCCCCCCAGTCCCTTCCCCTTTGGTAACTGTTAGTCCATTCTTGGGTTCTGTGAGTCTGCTGCTGTTTTGTTCCTTTAGTTTTTGCTTTGTTGTTATACTTCGCAGATGAGTGAAATCATTTGGTACTTGTCTTTCTCCGCCTGGCTTATTTCCCTGTGCATAATACCCTCTAGCTCCATCCATGTTGTTACAAAAATATTTCATTTCTTTTATGGCTTAATAATATGTGCCTTCTAGCCTCAATTTTTTTTATACCCTGAATTTTTACTTCGCCCTCACAAAAGAACATAAAACATTATCGTTGTCTCCCTTTAATTTTGATGTGGAACTCCTTTACTTGGATCGTTTTTCATGTATTTATTCATTCAATACCTGGCACTGGGCCAGGCACTGGAGGACAAACCCTTGCCCTCATGGAGTTTCATAACTTCTGTCACAATTGAGGGTATCTCTATACAGACAGATGTGTTGGTGGTTGAGATTCAATTTGTTCTGAGTAAGAAAGCTATCATTGATACGTGAGCTTCTCACTAGGTTTCACTGCATTTATGTCAGCCTCTAATCTGTAACTCTTTCCAATCCCAGGGAGAAGATAGCATTTTTTACAAGACCAAGGATTAATGTACCTCCTCTGCCTGCCGATGATGTTTGATGTAGTGCTTTGTACACATGAAGTATTTATCGGCCTGTTTTATTTTCATGAAGTTCTTAGACTAGCTAAATTTGTCTTTAAAATATTTGTGCAAAGCTATTAATATACACATTTTGTAAAAAAAAAAAACGCATATATCTATACATATATATTTTATAATAGTGACGGCAACAGGGCTTGGTTTTTCCTTGTTGTGAAATTGACATCTCTGAAGACAGGTTATTTTATAAAAGATCAACTATCATGTTAAAGAGTGTACAGTTTTTATGCTGTTTTATTTGACTTAAAGGCTGGAAGACAGAAACAAAGTGAGTTCAGGCAAATTCACTGTATTGTAATTTATTTATAGTACTGTTTTTTCCTTGAAGGAAAATACTGACTTTAAGATGTATTTTAAGATTGAAGTTTTGTTCTTCGGTATTTGTCATGCACTAGAATGGAACTCTGGGGCCGGTTCTGTGTCTGACACCCGAAATCTGACAGCATGTGCTAAGCTGGTCACTCTGTTTCTCGCATGTGCATTTGTGTGTATGTGCTACACTTTCACACTCCGTGCTGTGTTAAGACCTCAGCTCCAGTGGCTCAGTCATAGCTCACAGGCCGAGTGCACTGCAGAGCTCAGCCTCCCAGGTGGCCTGGGTGTTGATCGCCTCTCGTTTCTGTGCTTTCTTGTGCCCACTGTGCATCTGAAGCAGGCCACAGAGCCCCGGGGGTCCTAGGCATTAGCCTGCCCGTCCACAGTAGCCATCCACACTGTCCACTTCCACCAGGCCACCGCAGCCCCAGCTTTGTCCCTGCTGTCTGATCGCCACTGATGAGGAAGGTGCTGGGGGAGCTACTGCCCTGTTGCCCCATCCTGAAGGCAGCGGCACATGCGTTTTCAGGGGATCAGTGAACCCACTGATGGACGTAGCAATTTTGACACGGACATGCTAACCTTTGAAGGCACTTTCTTGTGGAAGGAAGCATATTTGGTAACTACAGTGACCCAGTGAATCACTTACAGGAGAGTGTTCAATTTGACTTGAAACGCTCCCCACCCCCACCATATGGGAGTCTACTCAATTTTTCTCAAGAATCTTAGAACTAGCTCATTAGGAAAGAAAATTTTTATGTAATGAAAATATACCATTATTCCTTTAAAATGCCAAGTGATATATTCTGCCTAATACATAATTATTACCTATGAAATGCACTCTCCTTTTTGAGGCCTTGGACACGTCCCCGAGGTGGGTCACAGGAAACGGAAAGGCAGCAGAGCCCTCGCGGAGCCCCCGCCCGCAGCCCCCTCGTGGTGCCGCACCCTTTCAGTAGTCTGTCCCCCGCCCCACTCTACCCTACCTGCCTCTGTACATTTATTAAAAATGAATTTTGTAAAAACATTTCATTGACATGCAGCCGATCACGGGCGGTGAAGTCTGCCAGGGCGGTAAGACCGAACACTCTGCTTTCTCACGGCTGTCATCTCGCGCTATGTATTTCTGCCTCTTGATGCACTTTTTCTTTTTCTTTTTTACCAATTTCTGTGTGTCCATACCCACAACAGAGGTAGAGACACATAAAATGTGGGTCCTTGCCAGAAGTGGCCTGCCGCAGTGTCGCCGATGCCCCAGCTATTGAAACTTTAAACTCCAGAGCAGACTCGCCTGCGGGCGTGTGGAGGGCAAATAACTTCGGACCCGGCGCCTGGCTTGCAGGCGCGAGAGAGTCCCCTGGACGCCCCGCCTGGCAGCTGTTCTTTAGCAGCTGCAGGAAGCCTTAAGCGGGTTGGTGGGTCGGGGCAGCTCTTCTGCCGACCCTTGTAAAGTAGTAGTGAGGAGTACCCCCTTGCCAATGTGGGAAGCCCTCCAGTGGGTTTTCAAACCAAGTTCACTGCCAGTACATGCAGATTTCTGTTCAGAGTGCTTCCCCGCCCACCCCGGGTTTTAAAGCCCCCTTTGCCCCCCAGAAACAAGTGCAGCTCCTGCTTTGGTGTCAGTCCGAGGCATCACGCTGCCTGTTGCAGGCATTGCTCCCCCTCCCGCGCCTGTCGCGTGCTGTGGCAGCTGGTGGGGACCATAGGGAGTGATGAAAGAAAAGCCAGACCAGGACGGGAGCGGGAGCGGTGTCCTGCCCACCGCCCCTCTCTCCCTCCCTCCAGCCTCAAAGGGCACGTGCACAGCGACAGCGGACGCGGAGCACCCAGTTGGCTTCTCATTCACGACTTGATTTCTCAGCTTCGACTAGTTAAGGTTGCTGCCCTCAGAAAATAATCCATGTGTCTGAAAAGTCAAGTCCTTTCGTCTTAAGGGTTGTTTTCAGCTTCTGTTTTAATTTGTCCCTAATTGTGCCTTGTGATAAGAAAGTTCTGCCAGGTCTGCCACTAGGGTTCTTTAGAAACAGTACAATGAGTAAAAGGGAATCTGGGCTTCTCTTCATCTGATCATGGGACTGTCATCGCTGAAATAAATAACCTTTTGTTGTGGTTAAATTATACTTAGTATTCATCTCTTTTTGTCACTGTTCTTGCTAATTATGTCATTTGTATTGTTTGAAAGTATTTCTTCTATGAAATTAAACTAGCCTGCCTTTAGAACAAAATGGAAATGTGTGGTTTTTTTAAATGTAATTACAGAGAGTCAAATATATAAATATATAATTTTTTCAACATAAAAATAGAGGTATAAAAATAGGATAGTCAAATGAACATACACACTGCCCTCCCCTGCTTCAGCATGACCCAGTCATGGCCAATCTTGTTTCGGCCACACCGCTGCCTGTGTCCCCTCATGTGATCTGAAGCAACTCCCAGACACCTTGTCTGTGCAGCTGTATTTCAGTATGTATCGCTAAAAGAGAAGAGTGAACATATGCACAATATCCTTACTACATCTTAACATTTAGTAATCCTTGATGTCATTAAACATCCAGGGCTCATCTTTCCAATTGTCTCATGTCTTTGTTTTTAACTAAACATAATCCAAATATGGTCTGTTTATTGGAATTTTTATTGGCAACTACCAACCTGCTTTCTGTCTCTGGATTTGCCTATTCTGGACATTTCCTATAATCATTCAATATGTGGCTTTTTGGGTCTGGCTTCTTTCACTGTGCATAATGTTTTCCATGTTCATCCATCTGTGTGTATCAGGACTTCACTCCTTTTCGTGGCTGAACACTATTCCATTACATGGCTACCCCACACCTTGTTTATCCATTCATTGGTTGATGGACATTTGGGTTGCTTCCACTTTTTGGCTATTATGAATAAGGCTGCTATGATCGTTTGTGTTCAAGTTGTGCATGATGGGTCTATACCTAAAAGTGGAATTGGTTGGTGATATGGTGACTCTTATGTTTAGCTTTTTGAAGAAACTGCTGGGCTGTTTTCCAAAGCAGCTGCACCATTTTACCTTTCCACCAGCAGTGCCCAAGAGTTCCAAGTTCTACGCATCCTGGCCAACGCTTGTTATGTCATTTTGCTCATAGCTGCCCTAGTAGGTGTATACAGTGCATCTAATTGTCTTTGTGTCTGTTTTCAATCTACAGGATCATACTCACATACACCCTTATAATTTGTGGGAGAAACAAGGTTTCATGGCCTCCAAGTTTCCCACATTCTCAACTTTGCTGATTGTAACCCTGTGGTGTAGTTTAACATGTTCTTCTGAAATTTTCCAATAAATAAATCATGGGAAAAAGCTGTTGTTGAATCTTGAAGCTTGTTCAGATTCCACTTCATTTTTTTCCTTTCTTTTTTTGGGGGTGTATGGGTGGTAAGACATTCATGTGTTCATCAAGGGCTTATAGTGTCTCTTTGTAACATTCTAAACCTGATAATGCCTAGATCCGTTAATTCACTAAGGGTTACAAAATGGTGATATCCTAATTCTATCGATTTTTTTTAACTTCCTTTGAAATACCTTTATAAAGAGAAATTTTTGGTTTGGTTACCAAGTGGTATAGGAAAAGCAAGATAAATGCTTTATTTGTTTTATTGACCAGTTTCTAAGATAACGAAGTCTTTTCCTAGCACAGTACGGTGGTGACCAATTTGGTTTTGGCTTATGGAGGTTTTTATTTTTAGTATCATTATTAACACATGATTTACATATGCTTGGTGTGCTTTAATCCATTGGAGTTGTTACCCTTACTGATGTTCAAATTCTCCCATCCTTGGCTGGGGGAACCTCTCTGGGTGCCTCCTGAGGCCTTTTTTATGTCTCCAGAGTCTTAGATGGTTTCCTTGCTATCCCACATGACCAGATGTCTCTGAACTGGAAATGGTCACTTCTCCAGGAGACTTGGTTTCTTGGTGTTAGGGAGTTACTCATTGTCACTAGGTTGGCCATTGTTTTTAGGCCGTTTAAATAGACAATATTTTCTAAGGCGAAGGGGATGATAGCGATCACATGATTACTCATTTGCTTTATCCCATGGCACACACATACACCACAGTTTCAGAATAGCACCACCCACTATATGATGACTGGAAACTGACATTTTTCTTGCAGCAGTTATTTTAGGCCCTAACAGGTTTCTCACTAGGAACGTGTAGTCAAAATTACAATTAGCAGGTTTGAAAGTATTTGGGTGTGTCCTTTCTGTGTGGCTGAGGTAAAAGTTGGATACACGTGTTTCACTTCACTTTGGGTTTTAAATTTTATTTTACAATTATGTAAAATATTGACACAGTTCCAAAGACAAATACACCAAGCAAGGGATAGCCAAAGATCCCTTCTTCCCTATTCCTTCCCTCTCCTTACAGGCAACTGTGTGAGAATAGCTGGTCCTCTTTGCATGGGGTATTTGTGAATATAAGCAGACATAAGCACATGTAAGTGTATATGCAAATCCATCTCCATATCTGTAGGGACATGCACAGGTTGGCCTGCGTATACAGACACAAATCTATACACGTCTACATTTGTATTCGCTCCCATCTCTTGGATAAGTGGAAGCACACCAAACACACGTTTCTCTACCTGGCTTTTTCACCAACATCCCTATCATCTCTATTGGCTGCTGTAACAATATGCCACAGACTGGGTAGCTTAAAACAGCAGAAATTTCTTCTCACAGTTCTAGAGGCCACAAGTTGGAAGCCAAGGGGTCGGCAGGGCAGCGCTCTCCCTGGAGACCCTCTGGGAGGCTCCTTCCTACCTCTGCAGCCTCTGGGGGCTGCTGCAGGCCTAGCTGTCTGGCCTGTACAGCCCTCGCCCCCTGCCACTGCCACCTTTAAACCCGCCTCACCTCCGTTTCTGTCTCGTGCCTGTCATTGGTTGAAGGGCCCACCGGTTAGTCCAAGATGATCTCCTCTCAAGATCGTTACTCCTACAGAGACTCTCTTTTCCAAATAAGGTCATGTTCACATGTTACAGGGGGACATAGCTTTTTGGGGGCCACCATTCAACCCACTACCACCCGCCTTCCGGCTCCGCAAATTCACATCCATCCCACAAGCGATGTCCATTCACGCCCCCACGCCCCCTGGTGGTACATGGAGGTGCTCTCTTCCCTGCCACCTACGTACGCTGCAGTTGTGGGCGTTCCATGGTCTCTTGATGTTTCTCGTCTTCTGCTATTAAACAGTAATTCAGCACTGAAAAGCCTTCTGCAGACATCTGTTCGTATTTTTGCCAGGGTTTCTGGGGACAGATCCCTAGAAATGGGATCTCCGTGGGTCAAAGGCTAAGCCAGCATACGGGATTTTGTTAGGTGTCACCTCCTGCCTGTATGCCATGATGTGTTCTCAGTTGCGTCACATAACCAGTTGTCTTGTAGCGTCGCCAGAAGGATGCTGTCATGTTGTGGGTCTTTGCCACTTGCAGAGGTGAGAGGTGATAGCTCAGCGTAGTCTAATGATGGATGATGATGATGGAAGCTTGCTGTTAGGTTTATTATGTGTTAGGGCTGGTGGCCCTCCTTCCTTTCTTCTTTTTCACTGTTTTCTTGACTGTTCTTGCTTATTTGTTCCTTCAAATGAATTTTATAATCAGCTTGTCTAGCTCTGAGGGGCAGGGAAAAATGATGGAATCGTTACCAGAATTACATTAAATTTACGAATTAGGGAGAGCTGACATTTTTATGATGTTGAGTCTTTTTATCCAGGAATGTATTATGTATTTCTACTTGTTCAAGACTAATTTTATGTCTTTCAGGAATGCTTTACAGTTTTATTCACTTATATTTTAGATATTTCTTGATAGTTTTTTACCTATTTTATTTTCTGTCTTTACCCACATAAAGATCTTTTTTCGTTTAGGCTTTAGAGAAAAAGCTAGTGTTTCCCTGTTAAATAAAATGTTGGCTGTAGGAGGTGAATTTCACACACACCACACACACATTTATCATGTCAAAGACGAATCCATCAATTTCTATTTTGTTTGTGTTTTTAACATGAATGAATATTCGATATTTTCAAATTCCTTTTCTCCATCTACTAAGATGGTCATATGATTTTCCTTCTTAGCTCTACAAACATGATGGATGATATTAATGGATTTCCTAATAGAGAACCACCCTTCTGTAAAATAAACTCCATTTGGTCATGCTATATAGGTATTAATGTGCATTACAGTTGGTTTCCTAGCATTGTATTTATGATTTTTGCACTGATACAATGTAATTTTTTTCCCTGCTGTCTTTGGCAGGTTGAGGGTCAATGTTATACTCCCTAAAGCAAACGTGGAAGTTTTTCTTCTTTTTCTTGGCTTGGCAGGCTAAATTAGGGAGAATTCCGGTGTGAAACCATTGGGGTGTGCTCCATGGGATTTTTGACAGGGGAGCTCTTAAACCACCTGCTCTATTTCTTTTGTGGAAATTTATCTTTTTAGACCTGTCCCTTGAAGTCAATTTTGCTAAGTTATATTTTTCTTAAAAATGATCCATTTCAGATCAAAGACCTGAATGTAAGTCATGAAACCATAAAACTCTTAGAAAAACACATAGGCAAAAATCTCTTGGACATAAACATGAGTGACTTCTTCATGAACATATCTCCCCGGGAAAGGGAAACAAAGCAAAAATGAACAAGTGGGACTACATCAAGCTGAATAGCTTCTGTACAGCAAAGGACACCATCAATAGAACAAAAAGGCATCCTACACTATGGGACAATATATTCATAAATGACAGATCCAATAAGGGGTTGACATCCAAAATATATAAAGAACTCACGTACCTCAACAAACAAAAAGCAAATAATCCAATTTAAAAATGGGCAGAGGAGCTGAACAAACAGTTGTCTAAAGAAGAAATTCAGATGGCCAACAGGCACATGAAAAGATGCTCCACATCGCTAGTCATTAGAGAAATGCAAATTAAAACCACGATGAGATATCATCTCACACCAGTTAGGATGCCCAGCATCCAAAAGACAAACAACAACAAATTTTGGCGAGGTTGTGGAGAAAGGGGAACCCTCCTACACTGCTGGTGGGAATGTAAATTAGTTCAACCATTGTGGAAAGCAGTATGGAGGTATGGAGGTTCCTAAAAAAGCTCAAAATAGAAATACCATTTGACCCAGGAATTCCACTCCTAGGAATTTACCTAAGAATTCAGGAGCCCAGTTTGAAAAAGACATATGCACCCCTATG